AGCACACCACTGCGTAGAAAATGGCACTCGCCACAACAGACTGATAGAACATATGTAGCATCTTACTAAACACATTGAAGGACCTGAGCCTCCTCAAGAAGTAAAGTCGGCTCTGTCCCTTCTTATAGATGGCCTCGATGTTCTTAGACCATTCCAGTCTATCGTCAATGTGCACTCCCAGGTACTTGTACGAGTCCACCATCTCCATGCCACTCCCATGGATGTTGACAGGAATAGGTTTGACCTTTTTCCTCCTGAAATCTACCACCAGTTCCTTTGTCTTTGTTACATTCAGTTCCAAGTGGTTCACCCCACACCACTCCACGAAGCTGCTGACCAGTCCTCTGTACTCCTCCTCCTGCTCACCCTTGATACATCCCACAATTGCAGAGTCATCTGAGAACTTCTGCAGGTGGCATGACTTTGAGTTGTACTTAAAGTCCGAAGTATAGAGGTTGAAGAGGAATGGAGAAAGAACTGTCCCTTGAGGTGCCTCTGTGTTACTCACTACCTGTTCAGACACACAGTTCTGAAGTCTCACAGACTGTGGTCTGCCTGTCAGGTAGTCAGTGATCCACGAGGTCATGGAGGAATCGACTTGCATCTCCTCCAGCTTATTCCTTAGAAGTAAGGGCTGGATGGTATTGAAGGCACTGGAGAAGTCGAAAAACATGATCCTTACAGTGTTGCCAGCCCTGTCCAGGTGTGAGTAGGCCCTTTGCAGCATGTAGATGATCGTATCCTCCACACCAACACTGGGCTGGTAGGCAAACTGTAGGGTGTCCAGTAATGAGCTGACCAGGGGTCTCAGGTGGGATAAGACCAGCCTCTCCAGTGTCTTCATGACATGAGAAGTCAGTGCAACTGGTCTGTAGTCGTTGAGGACAGAGGGGCGCCCTTTCTTTGGTCCTGGGACCAGGCATGATGTCTTCCAGAGCACCGGGACTCTCTCCAAGCGCAGGCTCAGGTTGAACAGTCGCTGGAGCACAACCTGGTGTTTGAGTGTGCCTGCCATGCTGCAGGCTGTACTGGTCACATCTTGGAATTCAATCTAGTCTGGTGCCAGGAAGAACACCACTCCCAATCCAGTCCAACACCTGTATTCTGCACACAGGGCCTGGATGCTGACAGCTTGCGGGTCGAGCCTTTGGGAGAGGACAGTGACGGCGCCCTCTACTGGTATTTCTATGGAACACGCATGTACAAGGAACAGCCTGTGAGAAGGACAACAGCAGCCCAGAGGTGAGAATTCAGTACTGGGAAGAACACTGGGTTTTGGGTTACTATCTTTGTGACAAAACTACTTTAATCTTTCACCGTGGTTATACTTGACACATGCTCAGGGCACAGGGCCTTGAGCTTCTAATTTTAATTGGCTGCATAAGATAGATGTTCGTTTTAATTCATTTGATTAGTAAAGGTTATGTTCACAATATGTCAGTTGCTAATAATTCTGTATTATAGCATTTGTAGTGGAGCTTGAGTGATGTAATTTTAACGATCGGGTTTGTCTTCAATGTGTGATGTCTGTGATTTATTGTATTTTATTGCTTTGTGTTTTGTTTTCTGGTTAGTACATTGATTGTATACAAGCGTAAATCACCCTGACTAAAGATGTTTAATTTTTCACCTTAACTAAGGCTCAGAGTTAAGTGGAGCATTCATTTTGCAGTTAACTGTAAAATGGGAAGATAAAATGCTCTGTAGTGAAGCAGTGGGTAATTATTTGGAAGGTGTTTGTGACAGGAGGTTGCAGTGATATAGAGGGATTTTTTCAAGTAAAACTGAACATCTGCTGCAAAACGTTATGTTCTTTTATTAAATCATCTGCTTTTATTGTAGGCGACAGGGTCGTTAGTGCTGCTGTTTCATAGCTCTTGGGTTCTGTGTTCTATTCTGGACTGGGGTATCTTTTATGTGGGATTTGCATGTTCTCTTTGGGCCTACATGGACATTCTGTGGGTGCTGTGTAGGTCAGCTGGTGTCTGTAAATTGTCCCTGTGAGTGTGTGTGTTCCCTATGATGGACTGGCATATTGCCCAGGGACATCCTGTTTTGAGTTGTTTTCTTATAGGATTGTCTCTTGTCTGCAATGCTGCAGTCCATAGTAGGAATAAGCGGCTTCCTAATGATGGATAGATGGCTGAATGGGTGATAATGCTAGTGATAAAGACGAGTCAAAAGTAGCATCACCAAATTAAATCATCCAGATGTCCTAAGGAAGAGAGGCAATTGGTCATGGTAAATTTGTTATAGCGGTTCATTGAACCTCACTAATTTTTTTTTATTTGCGCATGCTTCTCTTTCGTGAACAGTGAAAATGCTGAAGTCAAAGTTGAAGAGAAACCAGTGAGAAAACGGGGAAGACCACCGAAAAAGAAAAAATTTGAAGCAAAGAGACTGAGGTAAAAGTGAGGTCTTTTCACCATCACAGGGACACAAGATTATCTCCAGTTGGGTTGATATTTTCCAAATGAACTGGCAATGCAGGATTGGCAAATTAAATTATTCCTGAAGGTTATGCTGACCCTGAAAATCTTTACTGCTTCATAAATACAATTTCCCAAAGGGTGGCCAAAGCACAGATAATTGTCACAAAACAGATCTCACGCTTGTAAACTTCAGTGTCTTTAAAATTCCAACAGTATTGACATCAAACCTGATATGCCCTTTGGGTTAGTGCAGGTGTCCTTACTGCTGAGTCTGTTCTGGTCTGTCACTGATGCCTCTTTTCAGGGAATAGCTGAGCTGGCCAGTCTGGCTGGAGGGTGTTTACACTGTGACTTAGCTTTGCCTCAGCTGCACCTCAGGCACATTCGTAACATTTGCACCCCTGACAGCATAGTCTCTTGTCTCATTCTGCCCTGGACAAACAGGTGTGTGTGTGTGCTCACGTCTACACAGACAAGCCTTTCTTCTCCTGTTTAACAGCAGCTTGAGGCAGAGAACCTAATGACAGAGCCCATTAATTCTGATAGCTGGTGTTTTTTATTAATTTTACTGACGTAAATGAATGAAAACAAAAGTTGCAATACTGAGAATCCTTCATTGTTGGATGAACAGACATATTGTATGGTTTATAAGAAAGAAGAAATATTTAGCAACATTTATTTACTCATCATATTTAGCATTGTGAGAATTATACCCCATATTTCATAAGAATAGTAATCTACAGGTCATTATTTTGTATTGTGATAGATTATATGTAGCTTCAGCTGGGAGAAATTCATTGCTTGTTTGAGTAATACAAAAAACTTACACTGAATAACCAGAATCAGTTAACTCACCTACAGGCTCATTTGTCATTTGATGTATATAGCCAGCTCTGCAGCAGAATTAGTGCCAACCGGAGGTGTAGCACCTCTCTCACGTCTTCCACTGGGACACTGCAGGTGTCTGCAAGTCACAGGGGTTGCTGTGTGCTGTACAGCTGGTTGTATAGCCCTTCAAAAGCATCTAAAGACACAGCTAAGCTAAGAAAATATAAATTTCTTTACTCTATTAATTCAGATACTTAGAAATGCAACACAGTAGTTTTAAAGCATATTGTATACTTAATATATTATTTTTAAACATTCTAAATAATGATGTGGAACATAAGCTAATCATGAAGCCTTGTTTATTAATGCAAATATCCAGGAATATAAAAATTGTTTCTCACAAATATCAGTCAAGAGAGCCCTGGCGAACTAGTTCTGCCCTACCCTGTCAGTGCTCTGCCTGTGGTTTGCCACCACTTGAGGAAGCTAGTGATACAACCCAGACCCAAACCAAGAAATGCATGAACCCTGAGCGGTCTAGTCAGCCCGGCTCAGCTGCCCTGGAGCACAGGCAGAAGAAATGAGCCGAGTTAGACAGCTCTGAACTAGAAGTGTTCCATAGTCTGTACAGACGTGGAATTCCCTGCATACCTTTACTCAAGATTGCCCAAGTACCTCATAATGCTTTTTGGTCTTCTGTCTTAAAGCATTTTTGCATTTAATGTCAAAACTAAAATGTTTGAGTATTCCGGTCCTCCTAATTGTGTGTTGCCTGTTGTTTCCAGTGAGTTGGAAAGTGTGATAAAAGAAGAAGATGGAAAAGGGAATCTACTAACAGGTATGGGTGACCATTATGTCTGGGGCAAGATGCTTTAGAGTATTTTTGTTTGGGCTTTTTTTTCCACCATGCAGAAAAATGGCTTGTGACCATACAAGTGTGAATTAATCTTTGTGTAGTCAAATTACATTTAGAAACCTTAAAACAGACAACATAGAAGTGCACAAAAAAAAGCATTCAGCAGACAAATTACAAATGAGAATTTTGATTTGGTCCTGATGTTACTTAACATGGAGGCTGCTTTTTCTTCTGCTATGGTGTTCAGAATTGTGCTGGGTTACCTCCCATTTTTTCTGCAGCTGAGGGGTTTGAGAATACGTTTTGCATCTGTTGACATAAAAATTATTTCAGAGTGTGGTTCCTGCACTTGGCTAAGTTTCAGGAGCAGAGCAGGTATTCCGACAGAACTGAGCACTAACCCCTGACAAATTGATAGCGTTTTCTTCTCATGTCATCTCTTTTCCTTATTTGTTTTTGTTTTGCTGCAAATTCCTTTTTAAGTCCATGCTGTGTGAGGGAGCAGGAGCTTTGCTGCAGGGCTACAGTGTATAATGATGTGTGTCTCCCTCAGAGAGCGAGCGGGGGGCCTGGTCTCTTGTGTGTGCCACTGAGGAGGAGTGGCAGAGCCTGGCAGAGAGCATCAAAGGGAAACACACCTACAAAGACAGGCAGCTCTACAAGCTGCTCAGCGAGAACTTCATCCCGGAAATTAGCAACATGATACTGTACAAGGTGAGCAGACCTTAAAAGAAAAACCAAAAACCAAATACATGAACTCTTTTTGGAATTTTTTTTTATCGCCTGTGATGAAATGGGAAGCTGTTTCAGTCTGGCTAAATAAGAACCTCCGGGCACCCCAGGTTGTTCAGGGTTCCTCTGATCTGAGCTTGTTTAACTGTTCAAAATGAGATGGATAGGCTTAATCATTGGTGAGGGGTGTCCAGTCCTTGTCCAGTGGGCCAGTGTCCCTGCAGGTTTTCAAGATCTCTTTAAAACAGCAGCTCCTGAAGAGCTGGGAGAAACTGTTAAATAGGCCCAGTTGATCCAGTAATGAGTTGATTTACCAGCAGTTTACCAGCATGGTTCTCATGAAACTCTGCAGCCCTTTAGGACAAGGATTACTCTCTACATAATCAAATATGTCATTTTAATACTGTATTGACTTATGTATGCATGATTAACTCTACTGCTGGTGTTTATTCTGACAGAATTATTGGAAGGATAAATTATTCTTTTAAAAACAATGGTGCATGTATGAAAATTATTTTCTATTGATTTTTCTTTCTATTGGCAACATGGTGTACTCTTATGTAGTAACCATTAATTTTCTTTAAGATATTAAAAGCCGAAATGGAAGAGTTCAGAAAGACGAAATCACAAGACGTATAACAATAACGAATAAGGACCGCAAGATTGGGGTGTCACATAAAAATAGAATAAAATGAGCAGAAGCAAAGAAGAAATAGACCTGAAATTACCCATTATTACAGTCATCAGAAAAATGTTTAAGAAAACGCCAGTACAAGATTTAATTTGTATTCAACTGAAACATCTGTAACACCTGATGGGAAGCTTTAACAAATGAACCCAGAAACCATCAGCTTGATGGTTTATGCCTTCACAAAGGTCAAAATGGCATTTGCCTTCTGCCAATACACTACTGGGCAGACCTCTTCATTGTCAATAACTGAAAACTCCTAATATTGTACTTCTGTCACCATTACTTAGCAAAGAGCTGATTGAAGATACCAGCTCTCACCTTGAAGTGGGTGGGGGGAGGTCTGGTGATTAACTACCGTGGGTTGCAGAAGGCTTTCCTAAGTGCACATTCAAAAAGGCAAGCCACCTTCTTTTCCTGAGGATTAACTGCTGCTGGAAATGCTCTAAGCAGGGGGGGAGTGCGGAAGGCTGGGGGGGGTGGATTGCTGTTACTAATTCAGCACTTTCGTGTATCATGTCCTCCGGTCACTGCACCCTCCTGCTAGCCAGGAAATACAAACCTCCTTTCAGCGTACACATCCTGAAGCCTTTTGTTCTCCACAAGGTTAAGTGCTTCTGATGTGCTGTTTGCATGTGGTCAGCTCCCTTCTACCAAGCCTTCTACCACCACCTAACAATGTCTGTTATATTTATTTGCTTGTGTTATGCTCATTACATAAAGCTAACACTTCTTTGAGTTACTCACTTGCGGGGTGGACGTTTTGTGGGGTTGAATGGTGCTGGTTCCGTTTTCTTCTGTGGAATGAACACGTACTGTATATTACATTATTGTATATGGCACATACTTAATTGTAGGCATACACTGGCAGTCAGCTCTCGGATTTGTAAAGCAGGGAAGAAAAGTGGGTGCTGAAGGGAGAAACAGGGAAAACCCCAATTCCATTCAATGAAAATTCACTCTGAGCACCTGGTCCCACAGCTTACTGTGATCATGGGAACAAGTTAAGGTTTGTTCCATTCTGAAATGAGAAGAAAAGAAACACAACGTTTCGGCTGTGGAGCCTTGACACACCTGAAGAAGGCTCCACAGCCGAAACATTGTGTTTCTTTTCTTCTCTTTTCAGCATGGAATAAACCTTTACTTGTTCCTTTGCAGCCTACTTGAACTTATTATGATCATGGTGCTTTTGTCAAAACTCTATCACTTATTAATGATTTGAGTTAGTCTCTCACAACCCCAAGTGCTTACTGCTTGATGTGAACATGTGGTGGCTTGCCAATGAAGGGATGAGAGCATTTCCCTCAAAAGGGTGGACAGAAGGGCCAACATTTGAGTGGGCTGCTGCAGTATCGTATTGTGGCATAGAATGCATCGTTCTTTTTCATCCTTGTTTATTCTCTTGCTGGTTTTGTACCTTTTACAGGTTGCATTTCACATAATAGAACAAACTTTTGTAAATGCTTTTTGATTGAGAGCCTTATAATTAAAGGGCTACTGACTACTGTCAATGAGCTTCAAACATTAAAGTCCTTAGCTCCTGTAATAACTGTTTCCTACATTTTTGAGTTGGAAAAGATAAATAGGAATATTACAATATTTGTGATCAATAGAGAGGGTTGTTTCAGGGGGTGTTTATATAGTGTAATGTTCAGAGTGTGGCATCACTTGAAGATGAGGCTTTAAGAGTTTTCCCCCGCAGTTCAAAGACATACTGGCAGGTTAATTGGCTTCTGGGAAAACTGTCCCTGGTGTGAGTGTGTGTTTTTGTCTATGTGCCCCGTGATGGACTGGCAACCCATCCAAGGTGTATCCTGCCTTGCACCTCTTGCTTGCCAGAATGGGCTCTCCCTTGACCCTGTATTGGATAAAGCAGTTCGGAAATGGATGGATGTTAATAATTAACTTTTAATCTATTGTTTCCTTATCAACAAGTTGTTTCTAAGGGCTGGAGCAAGCCAGAACCTATCCTGGCACAGAAAGCACAGGGCGCAAAGCCGCTCTCTTCCTCCTATCTACCTGTCGACCTTGAGGAAGTGTTCATTTAGAAAAACCAGTACGAACCTAAGCCGTTTGTCTTTGGGAGATGCGAGGAAACCAAAAATTGAAGCTGAGGGTCAGGGCAAAATCTGTACTGACAGACACCAGAATCTACCCCAATATCCTGGAGCTTTGAGGCAGCATTGTCAACCCCTAACTAATCAAAATTGCGCATGTCTTGTCATATGATACATTAATATGTACCTCGGTACAATAGATGGTTTTGGCAGATATTGGAGGGTTATTCTGATCTTCTTTTTCCGTTTCTGCTTTATATCCCAGTACCCTTTCTCTTTCTTCCTCACACCTGAAGAGCCTAGAGAGCCAAAACATTGCCCTTTTGCTTGTTCTTTTTCTACTTCTTGGTGTGGAAGTTCAGCTTGTTTCGCTGGAGGGTTGAGATCCTTTTGTCAATTCGTGTTTCTCCTGTCTTTTGTGTTTTTAAAGGAGAACCAGAGGCAGGAGAGGTTGTTAGACATGGCTCCTCGGAGGAGCTCCGACCGCCTTACTATAAAACGCATCTTACAAGAAGAAGAGGTAAGAGAGGTTGATGTCCTGAGCAGGAAAAGAGTCTACTGTCTCTTCTGCATGAAGCCCCCAGCTTCAAAGAAAGGCAAGCGAAAGCTCCAGAGTAGTAACAGGTTGAGCTGGTGACAGGCTTGTGAGGGTCAGGGTGCTAGAGAAAGTAGTTTAGGTTATACTGAGGGGGCAGGACTGGCGGACTGCGTGCTGGTTTGTTTTCCAGGCTCAACAGAGTTGAAGTGTGCTGTTGAGGTACAGGGCTGGCCAGATGCAGCCGGCATTAGCATCGCCTGGAAAGGTAGCAGTGTATCACCTCCCAACTGCTAAGAGAGGAGTCTAGATAGCACAGACAGATTCCTGTGTACTCCAGCTGTTACCATCATCAGACGGGTGCGCTGTCTCACAGGGACAGAAATTGTGAGAGAGACAGACAACAAATGGACTGCTGCTGTGTCAGGGGCCAAGAGGTGATTAATGAAGACAGAGAGGCATTCCTGGCCAAACAGGATCAGCCAGCATAGTCAGACGTGAACAGAGTTGTTTGTAAAGAGCCAAGAGTTGATTGAGTTAAAGTGATTATGTTAGTGAAGGCAGAAGAAAATGAAGAAGTGTGATTGGATGACATTAAGTGAACCAGGTAGAACACTCCAGTGCCTGACGTATTAGTGAAGAGTGATTAGTAAAGGTAGTAAGATAATGGAAGACCTGGGCGAGTAAAAGCCAGAGCAGCGAGCAATGAAATAGAAGACCATATAGACTTACCCGAGACGATGCCAATAAAGAACTAGGAGCCTGTGATAATGAATGACAGAACAATTAAAACACAGAAAATTAAGAGTGCTGTTCACAGTGGTAAAAATGCCGGTACTGCCACACCAGCAAGGGAAAGGCAGGGATTCTTGCCATTATTGTTTTAACAGTTTCCGTATTTCTTTATTTTCCATGTAATAATGTTTAAAAGGGAGTACAATTGTTAACATTATTTGTTAGTACTGACCTTATCACCAATTTAAGACACTGCAAAACAATATCACCATTATACACCATTAAAGTTTGCCTTAAATGATCATACAAATATCAATGACTGAAATTTGAGTTAATTTCAGGGCCAATAAATCCCTGAAAATACAAACACTTTCAAGGGTAGAGTAACATTATCTTATATTTCCCACATTATATCATATAGTAAAAACAACACATACATTATTTCAAGGAAAACTACAACACATAAAAACGTTAACTCCATTAAGGGTGTTGCTTTGTATATTAAACCTTAGCATTCACTATTCACCAGTATATACAATTGCACAGCCTTTGTCAGTGTGATTAGAATACTCAAATATACAACAAAATATATAGGTATCCATAGAATTTGTATTCTTTGGTAAACTGTGATGATTTAGAAACAGAAGTCCTTTAAATTTTAGTAATTTCAAAATCTGGCTCTGTGCCCTTTTTGAAGCATTCAGGTGGCAGCATGTTCATTGTCATTTATTTCCATCACACACATGAATTGTTTTAAGAAGTTTGGGGACATAACAGCCTTGAACAACCCTGAAAGAGTAAGCAGTATAGATGTATATAGTTAGAGCTTGAATGGCCCATTGACAGCAGTGTTCAGCTTGACAGAATGTTTTTCAAAATCATTGTCAAGCGCTTTATTGTGCTATGTGATTGGTGAATAAGCACCTTAGGATTTTTGAAATATTAAAATACAGATCTTTCTGTATACTTCATCGTGGCTGCTGTCCGTGTTTCTATACTTCATTTATTGCTCAAAGCTGAATATCAGAAGTATTGAATTGTTTCAGGATGCCTCAGCTCCAAACCATTGAGAATTAATACATCTTATTTCAGGACCACATTCTGTCTTCTTGTAGGAAATGTAAGCAGGAGGGATCAGCATAAAATAAATTAAATCAAATCTAATTGGTGGCTGAAGTAATTTTTCTAGTGGGTCCAAGTCTTATTTCCAAATTTATGTGTGAATGCCTGTGGGACTAAGTAAGGTAAAAAGGTCTATGCTAGGAAATTGGGAAATGTTAGCATTTGGTAATTGGGCTTTGTATAATATACTGTACAAAGTGATTCATATACTTTAGAAATATTTTTAATGGCTATAAATTTGTGAAGGCACATAGGCAGTGACTGTAAAGCTGGCAATCAGGGCATGGCACCATGGTGGCACATTGGCATCCTGGCCAGTGCTTTTGCCTCACAGCTCTTGGGTCCTGGGTTCGATTCCAGTTTGGCGTGCCATCTCTGTGGGTTTGTATATTGCCTCTGCATTCGTGGGTTTATCCAGATGCTTCGGTTTCCTCCCAAAGTCCAAAGACATGCTGTCTAGGTGAATTGATGTTCAGTGTGCTCTGCTGGACCTCTTCCGAGGTGTAGTCCTACCTTGTGCCCTGAACCTGCCGTGTTAGGCGCACTATGACCCCCTTAAGATAAAAGTGTTACTGAAAATGGGTGGACGACACCACCTCTCACCTTCATTCTCTCCCTATTTCATCTCTGCTAATGCATTGAGAGCTAAAAGGCTTGTGTAGGGCAAAAATAACTGTCTTTTTATTCAGCTGATAATTCATCAGCATCTATCGTGGTTATTGCACAGTTTACATTTTTGTTGAGGAATCTCCCTCCACCTTCTATTTGATTCTCCTTTAAGGAGTATTTTGGTGCCACAGTGGTATTCGCACTAATATTGCATCTGCCAGCAGGATTAAACGGAGAGTAGCCAGGCCCTCTGAGTGCCTCATTTGAGTGCAAACTGTGCCCTGTAGCCTGGAAACAGCTGGCTTGAGCCCTGGCTGTGCTGCTGACTGACATGACTTGGGAAGGAGCTCTGAAGGGGCTGTGCACGGTCAGCTCCATCAGTGCCCAAGGTTGGGTGGTCTGAGCATGGCACTGGGGGCTTCAGCTGCTCATGTGTACCAGCTACCGCTGAAATGAGTTGTTCTGAAATGAGAGCTCCTCTGTGTATGCTTGGGCCCAGGGGTGGGGGGGTGGGTGGAGTCAGACTTTTTTAAATGCACACGTTGAGATGAATTGAGAAGGTTGCCTTCTGGCTGGTACTGAGATTGTGGCACTGGGCTGGGGTGAGTGGTATGAGCCCACGATGGCAAATTCTTAAAAAGCTTAGGTATAGATAGATAATACTTTATTAATCCCATAGGGAAATTGATGTAAACCCATTTTTCAGGACACTCTCTCTCCATTCTTCTGTTCCAGTGGAACTGTCAACTGTCAACAATTAAACCGTTATTTGGAGTAATGCTTTGGTGAATTAAACTATTTTGTTTGAGAGGTTATATTCTGTTTAAAAAATAGAATTCCAGTGGTGATTTAAAGTAAATGTGTGAGAGCTGAGCAAGAACAGAACATGGCAGACTCCGCACATCTCCGGTTGAGGTGCGGGGAGGCGCTGACCCGCCAGCTGTCTGACAGGCAGCTGTAATTCGCAGGAGACGCTTCAGGCCATCGCAGAGGTGGAGCAGCAGAAGCGCAAGGAAGAGGAGGAGGTGGACCGGCAGCTGCTGCTGGCCGAGCATCGCAGGGAGCAGGAGAGGCAGCTGGAGGAGGAGCGCAGGCAGGAGGTGCAGGACAAGGTCAAGGCCGTCGAAGGTAAGGGAGGCTTCCTCCTCTCGTCCAGCCGCGCTCAATGATGGTGTCAGCCCCCTCGCGCTGAAAAGCAGTTCATTTCAATTAGTATGGCCCTGTCCTGCTGTCCAGTGACAGTTGAAGTGCAACACTTGGCCAGGTGGGTGACAGAAATGGACGGTGGCAGCTATTGGCCTCATGAATCTTGCAGGACGGTGTCTTCTGTGGGGTGTTGCTGCTTAAAGGGACAGCTCCAATTTGATCCAATTTGGGCTGCACTCTGCTTCAATCTACATTTATCATCCAGTTTATATTGTTCTTTGTTGCTTTCAAAAAATACCATAAGACTTCTGGTGCATATGTTTGTGTGAAAAAAGGTCTAAAACTGTAGCCTAAGTACATGGTCAAACCCATTGGTGTACCAATTACCATGTATAGAGATGTCAAAAAACTTCAGTGACAGGTGCTTTAAAGTTTCATATTATAGTATGTGTAATGAAAGTGACTAATTTCATCTGATTTATTTAGAGTTTTTGCTCTTCTTCAGGTCTATAGTGGGAGTACAGGCCCATCTCCTGGGCTCCAAATAGTACTTTGGCAATCAACGTACTCTTTGAGCTGGTGGTCAGATGGCAATACAGACCATTTAGTAGTAAACCCTAAATAAATAAGTACATCTCAAACACGGAGTAGTTAATACAGTACATATGAAAAATATTGGTTGTTGGTGAATGGCTATTCCATTTTGGCAGAGAAGAAACACTGTTTTTATTTAAAAGTTTTGTGGTTGATATTTTGTGTTATATTTTAGGGGTATCAAATGACAAACCATGAAGACTTTTTTTTAGTTTTTTCACAATTTAAACAACTTTCCTCCCCTTCCCCTTTGGCTGTTCTAGTTCAATTTCTGACTGCAAGGTGCTCGTTAATCAGCACCAACTCATGCAGCTGCTTTGCAGTTGTAACTCTCATTTACTTACACTGGGGTTATTCTAAACCACTTCCGAAAAGCATAATCCAAATAATCCTTGAGTACAGCACTAACGGAAGTAATTGAATCAATCAGCTAGCTTTCTGGATAGAGACAGAACACTTAGCTGCTTTTAATATGGTTAAAATTCAGATAAATGCTTCATAAATAAGAAAAGCAAGAACAAACTGAAGATAGAAAAGGAAATTAATGTTGGATACCACTTGGGAAAGACAATTCTACATGGATTAAGCCCAGGGCAAGTGATTTATTGCTTTGCTTTTGAATAATGCATTAGTCAGCTGTTTGCCTTCCCCATGGCTCTCTTTGTATGAATCATGTATGGGATGTTATTAGCAATGTTCAGACTTGTTAATCACCAGCATGTTACCACTTCCAGTGGACTTCAGATGTCATCAGTCAGGGGTTAATTAGCTTCTTATTCAGCATGTCAGTAAGAAGCCCCTTATTAATATGTCTTAGATGAGGAACTAGGCCCAGGTAGTATATTACGGGTCAGTTGTACGATCTCTTTTATGACCCATCATTTTCTAATTGGTGATGAGCTGTCCGATGTCCAGAACTGAATTTCCTTAAACAATATCCATTTTAACCATGTATGGAGAAGATGTATATTCAGAACTCTTCATTCTCTGGTTCATGTTGACTGGGTTTTGTTTCAGTATGTGTCACAGGTTAACAAATAGGTTTTGGAAAGCAGTGAATGAAACTCGCCCATAATGGAGAGATCTCTTACTGGATTTTGGTAGTTGGTCTAGATATCATATTGTCATTCCGTAACAAATATACCATTTTTTTTCACTAGTTTATTTAAAAATGTCTGCTCTGAACTGTGTCACTGTCCCTGGAACAGTTCATGCCAAATTCAGAATTGTTCTTTTTTGAGTCCTGTGACCTTAATGTCCATGATACTTCTGCTTGGTCACAGTTAGTATCTGATATACTGATTTAAATTTAAATGCATTTTCTTTCTAAAACAGACACATTCCTCAGAATCTGTCACAGCTGTATGTCCCAGTCATCGTCTTTGTTCTTGTGACTCTTGGGAAGAGCAAGTGTTCTCAATAACTTGACGGAGGTGGTTCCCCCAAGGACCTGTCAACACTGGGTAGTAACCCGCCAGGGGTGGTGGTCTCCCTGTCTGTGTTGTTTCAGAGCGGGCCAGGAGGAGGAAGATGAGGGAGGAGAAGGCCTGGTTGCTGTCCCAGGGAAAAGATCTACCCCCAGAACTCCTCAGCCTGGATTCCCATTCACCTGTCAGGAGAGCCAGGAAAACCAAAGAATTGTAAGCCCCCAGCCCATCTTACCACACCATCTCAGACAGGACATTGGCTCATAACGTTAAATCCAGAAGTACTCAACTCCACTGAAGTAGCCCAGGTCTAACTGGAGGGTTCCTCCGCATCTTTCTTTTTCTATTTTTCAAGGCACAAAATCTTCACGTTTTTTCAAGAAATTATGCTGCAACGTGCATGTTAATTCTTCCAGATGCGCAGGCTTCACAAGTATCATGCATTAGAGAGCACTGAGCTACTTTCTTTCACCGAGATGCTTTTCATTGGAAACTCTCGTCTAGGGGGATCCACTCGAGGGAGAAACAGGGATACAGATTATGCTTTAATGGGAAATTTATTTCAAAGCAAAAATCAATTGTAGATCAAACCGAACTGCAGTTAGGAGCATGTTAGATCACAGTTTAATAATCCAGTGCTCCCAGACATGTCTGCAGTGCCAGACTGACGATTGCAAACTCAGCCCCCTAAGAGCTGCTTCCTGAGGCAGAAAAGATGCCTCCCACTGATACAGGAAGGAGAGGTACTTGTACTGACGTGTTCTGGTGCGTTGCCCCCGTGGCCACATCTGTGTGGAAAAAGCCTCAAAAAAGAAAAGAAAGTATCTGTTTAGGCTCATGAAACTGCACCAAGAGGACTGATTTTTTTTATGTTGTAATTTTGTTTTGGACTGAACTTCCCCTTTTGAGTCCATTAAAGTGAGTTAAAATCGGAGTGACTTTTTACAGTTTTATTTGTTCAGTTTTGTTTGTTAGCAGCAAACCTCAAACACTTTTACCTGAGACTAGTGCTTTGCAAGAAACACATTGTGCACCGGGTATTTACATATGATTTTAGAAACAGAGGTTAAGTTAGACAACTAATGTATCTTTACATGTGATTTCTTACAAACGTAATGTAGTTTATTTTGTTGGTCTCTCCTTAGATGTCAGTACTGGGCAGTAGCCATATTTAATCTCCATTAAGTGTGACTGTTTTTAGTTATCTGCAGCATAGAAGCAGCAAAATAATTGTATTTACTTTTTTAGCAATGAGAAAGTCCATTACATTACAAACGAGTCCATGATCTGAATCAAAGTGATTGTTTATTTAAATTGCAGAATATGTTACCACACGATAAACACCCACAAAGGCAAAGCTTCCTTGTGTATGTGATCCGAATTAATCAAAACTTTAGAGGGGAGCGTGCAGTTTGCAGAAGTACTGATTGTGTGTGTCTTTTCCAGCTTCGACATAGATGACGATTACACAGCTTTGTACAAAGGTAGGATCTGTGTCAGATTTATTTTATTATTCATGTATTTAAACTGCCTCAGGCAGCTTCTGATGCAAACTGAAAGTGCTGGCCATGCCAGGATGGTTGATTCCTGAGTTTTTTTGCATTTGTGCCATCCAGTTTTAGATGCTCTGAAGGCTCACAAGGATGCTTGGCCTTTCATGGAACCTGTTGATGAGTCCTATGCTCCAAATTACCATGAGATCATTGAGGTGAGTGCAGCAACGTCCAGTGAGGAAGAAGCCAAAGTTCTGCTTGTTCTGAGATAAATTGATGTAGAATTTATTTTTTTCCTTTCTTGCAGCATAGTTGTACAGAAAGTCGTTATGGTTAGAACAGCAGGTGGCCAATCCTGGTTCTAGAGAACCACTGTTCAAGTTCTAAAGGCTTGCCTCAGTTTTGAGTTTCATTCCACTTCGTAAGATAATGGATTCTTAAGAGAAAGGGATGTTGTGCCACCTGGACCAGGAAAGGGAATGATCAACCTCAAGATCTGCATAATCTTAATTTGTTTATCATTTAGCTCAGCCCTTTTGTGTCAGGCTTCTGTGACTGTTGTTTATGCCTTTCTTTTTTTTTTTGTTTAGACGATTTGCTTCAGTAGTTTATTATTGCTGTACCAGGGCTGCTAGTCTAATCTGACAGGGCTCTGTAACAGCTAGTTTATGACTCGTCTAATTGCAGTTATGTCTTGAGAGAAAGGACTTGAAGATGCCTTCCATACCTGAGAGAAGCATTGTGTTCTGCCAAGATGATTCCCTTTTTTGTTTGCATTATGGACGTGGTTTCTGCATCGTGTTTATCGCTCCATAGGGAGGCAAATCTGCTTAGCTGTGTTAATGAGTCCGTCTGTCTCAGCGCTGTAGCTGATAAGTACATCTCAGTACTAATCATCTCCAAGGCATTCACAGTGTAGCACCACTGCATTTAGTCAAATGTAAATATTATGTGCTTAAAACCTGAAGTAGGAGTAAAGAAATGCTTTCATTTTTAGTCATTTGTGTTCCCTGGACACATTGTGTTAGAGACACTTATGGTATGATATTGTTGGGTCTGATATAAAAGCAGTGTATAAAGTCCAATTGAAAAAACAGAAGCATTTCAGGGGAAAACATCTTTTTTATAGAATCTGTTAAAACTAGGTCAGATAATTTAGTATGTACACAACTGTTTTTTCCTTTAAATATTTTCTGTATTTTATTTTAAATTCTAGCTTTGACTAAGGTTGAAAATTAAGAAAGAGCATATCCCTTCCTCAGTTTTGTGTGACCATTCAAGATCTTTTCTCTTAAATTTAATCTGTAAAAAAAAAGTGGTCCAAGTCTGGCAACACATTTTGGCACTTAAAAAGTGTGAGTGGAAGATGAGTATGATAACAATAGTTTTATGTGTTCTTTTCTTGCTTTCATCTATTTAAAATTATAATGTCCTCCCCTCTTTAAATCTCCCAAAATTTCACACATACGCCTATAATTTATAAAGGAACAGTTTAGATGTACAATATGTTGAATCAGGTACACATTTGCATTTTTTTCAAATGTAAGCTGTTGAGATTTGAAAAGGTAAATATAACTTTTTTAAAGCAGAATGATCTGTTGAAAGTTTTTTCCGAGTTAGTTCATAATTGCATCTTAAATAGGATGCTTAAAATGTGTTTCTTTCTCTTGTTACAAGTTGTATATAGGGATTTATAAACATGTCATGCAGTCCTGGACATTCGTCAAGAGTTTAATTGTTTTAATATTTTTCTTAGGTGTCATTTCACACTTTTCTAGACTGAAACCTAAACAGATAAGGGACAACTTGTAATTAAATTAATTAAATGTTTCTTAAGCCCAGGTGAAAGGCTGCCACTTTGTGCTGCATGTGATGATGTACCACAACTAGCAGAAAATAAGAAGCAAGTACTTTATACACATGCAGTAATTATCCACTATGACCAATAAATTTCAGATCATGTATTCAACCTTAAAGTTGTAAAATGAACAGCATATTGATGTATTACTTAAATTTACCATTTCTTTTTCAGACCCCAATGGACCTGTCAACAATTGAAAAGAAGCTCAATGAAGGCCAGTACATTGCAAAGGATGAATTTGTCTCAGACGTGAAGCTCATGTTTGAAAACTGTCTGGAATACAATGGAGAAGATAGTGGTAAAAGTCTTTTATCTTTTTTTACTGAAAACCTCTCACTGTTGTGTTTAGCAGTTTGCACAGTTGCCTTTCCCCCATTACTTTTCCTGATGTACATTAATAACCGTCCTTAGGGTTTCAGAGGTGAAAACAACTGAAAAGCTTTGTGTGGTTTTAACTGACTGCAGTAGATTAAGGCACGAAATTAGACAAATTCTCTCTGCCCGCTTAGGGACATCATTATTATTGTTGGTATTGTTGTTGTTGGTGGTGTAGATATCATAATAAAAGATCATTAATTAGGCTGACTTCAAAGGCGTAAACTAAAATTTAGTGAGTTGTATTCGCAAGTACTACAGTTAATGACAGAAGTGTAGGAAGCTCCCTAGTGCAGTAAAAATACTTTTTTTAGCAAAGAACCGTACTTTTGCTTTAACTGATGAACCAATAAATTGAACCAGAGATGGTCCTGTTCCCAGCGAGACTGTTAAAAGCTCTTCCCTTACAGCATTGCTGGCAATGAGTTGCATGAATCAACAAATGGGATATATGGGGACAGCAATGTGATCGACCCTTTAAATCTGTGAAAAAGAGGCCCCCTATGAGCAGAATATATTTGCTGTGGCTGGCCAGTGTGTCATCCGTGCTGTGGCTTGGTTGGTGATTTCAGAGATGCTGAACTGGCATTGATGGTCATAATAGAAGGGTGGAGGGCAGATGTGTAAGCAAAGGCTTCAGACCCCATTTGGAACTGGATGTCTGTACTTTGAAGGCACGGTCTACAAAAATCTTCAGTGAAGCTGCTTATACTGAAGGCCTGCTTGTCCAACGCCCAGTCAGCCCGAAACTGTTATCTTTCGGGTATGCGCACTTAGGCAAGTTAAAAAGCAGAATTCTTAATGTTTTTTTATCAAATCAAAAGCATGAACCACTTGGTTCTTTTATCTGTTACTTTAAGGGAGCTGCCAGAAGAATTCCAGGGGGATTTTCCTTGTTACTGCTCAAAGAGACCCTGCTTCTTTTATTAGTGTAAAAGAATGCCATGAAATAGCTTTTCATTCATTTAATTTTCTAGTTTAGTGTTATTTTATTAGTTTCAAATGTTTCAATGTGGTATTTCAGCATTGTTGGTGCTTAGGAGCTCTCTCTTGACAGACGAACCACAAGACATTCCATATTTTCTTAAGAAATAATTGTATGGGATATCTTTCCATGAGGTGCTCCTTAGGGAATGTCAGGCGGGTCAAAGGTTACATGGAGCATGTTGACCCAGCCATTGTGCAGTTAGCTTCCTCTGTCAGTTGGCTTGAGCTAAAAAAAGATTTGTGTGCCTCAACACCGAAGGGCATGGATACACCATGTTCGTTCAGGACACATCCATTTTACCTGAACGAAGATCTTTCAAACTTAATCTCATTTTCATTGTTTTCATCTCTACTTAGTGTTGTTTACTACTTATTTATTTGAAAATCTGAACTTTTATCAAAGCAGACATGCACACTATGTTCTCAAAATTGTCCTTGTAGCATCTTATTTGACAAAGAAAAGTTCACAAACTTTTGTTTTGGCATATTATGCTTTTTTTACTTTTGTTTCCTGTTGGCGTAGAACAGAAAATATTCTTTTAATACCATATTTTTCTGTATTTCATGGCTTTAAATAGAAATGTTAAAAGGTCAACAACTTAAGATCTGAGAAATGTGGCTTGTAGCCAAAATTAAATTACAGTGCAAGGGGGGGCTTTGTTGCACCCTTGCAGTTCAAAGGGTGTCACCTTCCAAGGAACGCTGTTGGACAAGCTAACCCAAAAATAAACTGGGCCCTGTTGTTCCGACTGTCGACTGAGCAGCTCTTTTCCCTCCTTCTTCTCCAGAGTACACCAAGATGGCGGAGGCCCTGGAGCGCTGCTTTAACAAGGCCCTGCTCAAGCACTTCCCCTCGGAGGAGGGGGACACAGACGAAGAGTTCAAAGTCAGCAGCGAGGACAGGGAGCGGCGGGAGAGGCGACGCAGCCGGTCCCAGCGCCCGGGGGGGCCCGAAGCCTTGACCCGGACCATGGAGCAGGTCCATCGCCGAAGGGTCCCCCACAACGGCAAGGGCCGAGCCCCCCCCGCAGAGGAGGAGAGGTGGAGACCGGCCTCCGAGCCCCTGCCGGCGGCCTGGGTCAACGGGCCCGCACACAGCCAGCCCTTCCCCTCTGGTCGGAGCGTTTCGGGGCCGGAGCAGAAGTCTCCCAGCTATCAGCCATGCCATCCGGTAGGCAGCGTTGTTCTGTCTCAATGGTAACTCTGTAATCACCACGGTCCCACAGGAAAGGAGTCATTTTGTGTCAAAGGTTGTATACCCTCTAGTTAATCGTGCATTTATAATTTAGCTCGTGATCCAAAAAACACTCTGGTTTTATAGTGGTGTGACAGGATATAAGAATCTTTTTTTTTTTAAATCAAATCTGATCAACATGACAACCGGTGTATACCTTCTTCTTTGTTTTTGCATGGAAGATGACCTGATTAGTGCTAAAAGAAGATATTGCAATTTAATAATGATTGAAATATTAAATTAATTATTTTGTGTTAATATACTGAGCCAATTGCTTTGAATGAAAAAGACGCTGACTTCATGTACAGGATAATAAAATTCTGCATATAAACTAGAGAAAAAATTAGCAGCATTTTTATTAGTCGGCTGTTAAGTTGTACAAGGTATACATTTGGAGCTTAAGATGCAGATCTCGTTAGGCGTTTTGCTGTCGTTTTTGGTGTCTGGTCTAATTTCTGTTGGTGTCAATGTCATGTTAGCTGCAGAGACCCCCTGTTCCTGGGACATTTATCCACCGTCTTGCTCTGGATCCCCGGTTTCCTTATGCACCGCAAAGACCACCTGAGCCGAGGTTGGGAGAACCAGCCCATCAGCACCTACCTCAGCAGTTCAATATTCAGGTAGGTTGGAGATCATCAGTCTCCATTGTTTTATCTTCAACACCAGTGCTTTTTGCAGAGAAAAGCCACTCAGGTCTTTCTGTATCCTTCAGGTGAAGGTATTTGTTTTCAGCTAGATGCTTACATGTGATCGCACTGACTGAACGCCTCTGTGGTTTCAGCCTTCTCCAGCAGCAAATGAGCATCTTGGTCCAAGGATGAGGGGTCCCAACTCCAAACTCCTGTCGGCGCCGCAGCAACAACCATCTTACATCGGTCCCACTCACGGCCCCTCGCTGGGGCCCCGTCCTGCAGCTCTGCAGTCCGGAGGCCTCTGTGGGCCCCCACCAGAGGGCAGCTTGTACCCCTCCCAGCAGCGGCCGGAAGGACTAGTCAGACCCCCTGGGGGAAGTGCTTTCACAGGGGCCGAGGTCCCGCCTCCCCAAAAGAGCATGTATGGCCACTTCCGGCACCCCACGGTCACACTGCCCCCCATGTGGTCGGGGATGAATGGCCTGGGGCAGGAGAGACCCCCAACACCCAGGCTGCAGGAGCAGAACTCGAGTGGGCAGATGGTGCAGCCCCCCTTCAACCCCAGCGTGGTCCACGGCCCAGCGCCCACAAAACACTGGCCAGATCAACCGCCTGGTTGCCTACCTCACAATGGCCAGCCAGCAGGCCTGTACAGACTGCCCTCTGGGGCCAGCTCCCCAGTACCAGGGGCGCCTCGGGGAGACCCCCTGCACCGCGTCCCCGCTCCTCCTCTCCCTCCCCAGGAGCACAGGACGCACTTGGGCTCCATGTTAGAGAGCCCCGAAATGATCGCTCTGCAGCAGCTCTCTGCCTCCTCCTGCTCCCCCGCGGGCACCTCCCCCCTCTCTCAGCACCTGGGAAACTATCAACAGCCCCCCTGGGCTCCACCTGCACCACAGGCCCCGCCACAACCTCCCCCTCCCCCCGACATACAGCTGCTGAAGCCTGCCAAAGAGAACAGCGTGGAGAGTGAGAGCAGCCACCCCGAGGAACCTTTCAGGAAAGGTAATACTCCTCTGTTTCTGTCTGCCTTGGATTCTCATGTATATGTTTCTGCTCATGAGTAAAAGTGCCGTATAATCATATAAATTACCTGAGGAATTAGTGTTGCACTGTAATGGATGTCTCCTGAAGTATTTACCTCTCAAAGTATATGCTTGTATGTGTATATATACAGAAAAGAATAGAGGTGAATTTTATGTTGATAAGTACAAAGCAGCTTGTTTTTGTTTTTTTGGATAAGTCTCAGTCAACTTTGCACAGCAGGAAGGTGCAGTGTTTACCCATTTTCCTCTGCAGGCTTGCTCAGGCACTATCAGGTTGGTTGGGGACTGTTGATGGACAGTAATCTTCAGGTCTTACCTTAGATTTTCTATTGGATTCAAGTCAGGATTTAGGCCCAGTCTTGGACATTCACTTATGTTAATCCACTCCAGTATAGTTTTGAAACATTGTCCTGTTGAAAAGTGAATTTTCATCGTAGTTCTAGGTCTTTAGTGGACTAAAGCTGGTTTACCTCTAACTTCTGGCACATTAGGCATTTACACTAGAAAGTTCCAATTTTTGCAATATGTTTGCAGAATCACTTAAATGCTTTGTTTCAACTTCCATGCTGGATTTGAGATGTATTTTTTTCAGTACACTCAGGCCAGCTTTGTTCAATGACTGAGACATTTTTTTCCCGTCTCAGTCATTGAACTCTACAGCTCTTTCAAAATGCTCTTTGACCTCAGGATGGCATCCGTAACCAGTTCCCACCTTTCCTGGCTGCTCAGTTTGTAGAGATAGTCTAATAAGGACAGTGTCTGGGTAGTAGGATACACCTTCAACTACTTAATGATCAATGGCTTAAAAGGGTCATTCGGTGCTTTTTGGAGTTTCTATATGCTTCTCCTGATCTGTGCCTTTCTACAGCTTTTATCCCTGTTTGATCTTCATGGTTGAATCTTTGCTTCACATTCAGTATTTGAGAAACGTTGTAGAAATGGCCATATATAAAGTATTATGATATCATCTGAACCACTGTTATTTCTCTGAGAGACCATTCATCTAATTGTGTGACTGGTCAAGGTAAATGTGCACCACAGTAATTAAGATTTACTATAGTAAAAGGGATGAATACATAGACAACTTAACTTCTTTCACCCATATATTACTCAGTTGAGCATTTAAATTTTTAAGAAGTATCGGCTTTACCAATATGTCCGAGTTACTTGTTCCATACTCCCCCAACCCTCTTGGTACAGTAGTCCCTCCTATTTATCAGTTTTCACATAGTATTTCCTCTTGTATCCTTTGGATCATATTTGACAGTTTCTGGGTTGACTTTGTCAATGCCTTTAAAGATTTTAAAATACCAAATGTATCTGGTTGCTCTTCTGAACTGTTTCTAGAGCAGCAACATCTTTTTTTTATATATGGCGGCCAAAATTGTTGGCTGTCATGTGAACTTTATCAAAAGCATTCTGAAAATCTAAATCCATTATGTCATATGCCTTATGTGTCCATTATTGTTATTGCTTATTAGTCTTAACTGTTGGAAGAGGCACCTTTGGGAGGGGATTATTTGTGCAATATTTGTACACTATAAATAATTGCCAACTGCAGTCTGAACAATCAGTCTTACCCACTATTTAAAAAATGTACAGTAGCTGCCGAATTTTTAATACATGATATATATACAGAATTAAGTATGCCAATAACATTGCCTTATTCATCAATATGCATCAATATATAAGCATCAATATGTAAGATTCTAAATACACTGTGTACATATACATTGTATTTAGCACATTTTATATTAATTGACAACAAAAGGTTGTTAGGTGGAGCTGTTGGCATATTTTTGGCAGATTAATTTGAGTGATGCAGGAATAAAACAGGTAAGACTTAGAATCCATCAAATGTGTCTATGATTAAGTATTTCCCTTCCTTATAAACTGTTCTGTCATTCATGAAATATTCAATAGACCAGACTTGGGCCTTTTACTTCTTAGGCATTATTTCTGCCAGAGTTGGAGAAAGAAGGTACAATAATCGATACAGTGAGAGTCCCAGAAGAGCTCTGAGCAGTTTTATTTCTCTGCTCTTTCGGTGCAGCCTGGAGGCACATGATGAAGTCTTCATGTGCTGAAGCATGCAAGGTTTTGAGTGTGAATGTTTTTAGAGGGCACACACAGCAAGCTAGGCACAAGCTGTACTTTTTGTTTAATAAATAATATTTATTTTCCTTTATCATAATAACTATCCCAAAGTCAACTATATAACCTGTTCAATGTGGATGTTTTATACGTAAATGAATAATGAGGGGTGGTTCAGTGGCACAGAGGTTAGCATTTGAGCCTCACACCACTGGGGCCCTGGGTTCAATCTTGGACCTGAGGTTCTATCTGTGTGGAGTTTGTATGTTGTCCCTATGTTTAGTCCGGGTCCTTTGGTTTCCTCTCACATTGAAAGAAAATATTATTTTCCATGAAACTGATATTGTAGTATGGCGATCACACCACAGTACATGTAAAATGCTGGTTTTTCTTTGCACCAAAAAGGCACTAATATTTTCCTGCTCTTTGTTCATTTAAAGGAATGACACCATCTGAGCCAAAAATGGCTGAGCCCATTCAGCCTGTTCGAGTCACTCCGGCTCCAGGGGAGCAAGACAGGAAATCGGTCCCCAGCCCCACGGAGACCTCCAACAGATCCTCAGGCGTGGGCATGCAGAGCCCTGACCAGGGTGCCAGTCAGGACAAAGGCCTGGCAGACCACGTGCCTGTGCCGGGACACCCGCAGGGAACAGACACCTGTGTTGCAGCACGCGAGTGCACGGTGGAACAGGGCCCCCCGGAGGCAAACGATCAAAAAACAAGTGAGCCCCCTGCCAAAGCGAAGCAGCCAGAACTAGCCCCAGAGAACCGGAAAGAAAACGACGGCAAGCCAGACCCTAAACAGCACAGCGAATCCGAGATGAGGTCTCCTAACGGGTATTTTAAAGAGCAGTGCTATAATTCTGGGACGGAGCATCTGTTGAGCGGCATGGCCCACAGAGGACCAGGGCCCTTGAACCCTGCCATGTCGCCTTACAGGCTTGCCCAGGAGAAGGGGGTCCCAGGCCAGTATAACAACATGACTGGGCCTAGACATACCATGTATGGAATGCCCTTGGGTAGGCCAATGCCTGTCCCCAATCGGCAGCATTTCCCTAACCAGGCCCTGCCTCAGGCCATGTCTCCTCACCAAGGCCCGGCCAGGTACCCCCAGTTTCACCAGCAGGGGTCAGCATATCCTTACCACATGGCCTCCCAGAACCCCCAAGGCGGCTCCAACATGTACCAGCAGTACCAGCAGCCACAGTACTTCCCCCAGCACCAAGGCAGTGGCGCAGGAGGTGGCTTCCCCACAGAGGAGTGGCCTAGACCACCTTATCAGCCTCGCCACCCTGCGCCCTCCGGCACCTACATGCCCATGGCCAGTGCCAACGTGAACGGAAGACTACGAGAAAGCAGCATGTCTCCTCAGGGCTCCGAGAGCTCGACAAGCAGCCTGGTCTCTCCAAACCCGCTGCCCGAAGGGACCAGAAGTAGTTCTGTGGAGATCAGGGAGGTTGCTACCCCAGTAAAGGCAGCGAGAATAGAAGAGGAGCCTGAAAGGCCGGAGAGTCCCAAAGAAATACTGGACCTGGACAGTCACAATGCAGCCACTCGGAGACGCAGCACCCAGTCTTTGCCTAATATGGCTGGGTTCATGTACGGCCCTCGTGCAGTGCACCCAGGGATGCAGGATGACGGCAGTGGTCCATCGCCCCACATGATGCCCCATTCTCCTTATCCTGCACATCCTTTCACTGCTAGCCCTTACCCACCTCAAAGGCCTCACCAGTTGATGCAAGCCATGCAGCACCCTCAGCACATGGGCTTCGCCCAGGGCCAGCCCAGAATGGCCATGTACAGGCACCCCGATGAGAGGATGGGCTACTTCCAGGGCATGATGGTCCAGCAGAGAATGACGGGGCCGGTGCCACAGCAGTACCTCCGCCCAGGGTGAGGACCAGACACCCATTCCCATTGTCACCCGTGTATTGGGACTAATAGGTTCATGGGGCTACACTTACAGTGTCTACATCTTCTGTATTCAACTCTAATTTGATGTCTTCAAGTTTATCTTAATGTTTAGGTTACTGAAGAATTTAGAAAGGTTAGGCTACACTCCAGTTTCCTCACAGTCCAGAGAAATGCTGTCCAGGTTATTTGACGTCTATAATTACCCCCTTCCCCCGTATATATGAGAGTGTTTGTCCTGCCACAGACTTATTCTCCGTCTAGGTCTGATGCCCTATGCCTGCAAAGCTAGGCTACAGTTCACGAAGCCTAGGCTACAGTTATACTTAGAAGGCCTGTAAAGTGGTTACTGAAAATGGATGGATGGAGAAAAAGTTAAAAATGAGAGGCCATTCAGCTCATGTTCCTCATTTAATTACTTATCCAAATGGAAACAGCTTCAACAGTGTGGCTAGGGAGACCCCAGCAGCTCACTGTGCCTCGTGTTTTGTGTACTGAATATTCCTAAACAAGAAAACTATTATTCTGAATTTGAATATCTGAAACCATACACAGTGTGGTTTTATGTGTTTGTTTGCTTTTGTCTCATTCATATTTGGATGAAATGTGTCATGGTTAGTTAGCCAGTAATTCCTTTTAGTGTGTAATAAAAGTTACTGGAGTTATAGTCCCTGGATAATAAAAACAATAAAGACAGTCTGAACCTAGACTTATAATGACAAGTGCATACAACAGTGGTTTTACCTAAACTGACTGAACACAGTAGATGACCAGTCATTCCTCTACTGTGTCTGGAATTTATTATTCCAGTACATTATAAATTTAAAGATGAGATGCTTTTGCATCTGTAAACACTGATAATTTAAGTAACTTATAGTTTTAACATCAAAGAAAACTGGGAGACACAGTAAGCTCGTCGTTTCATTTTATTGTTCATCGTTTTTTTCTACTGGATGCTTGCTGTCACTTGACTTGGTCTGATAGTTTGTTTTTTTCTCCCTTGGCTTATGATTCTTAGTTCAATGCGAGTCTGCTTTTACTGTGCACAGAACATAAGGGCTCAGGTAACAGGCTTTGTTCAAACACATGGCTCAAGTAAAAAGAAATGTCAGATGCACAGCACCATCTAGTGGTCATGGTATGTCAGGATCCAATAGCAGTGAGATTTAATTAATAATAATAATTGCTTACACTTATATAGTGCTTATCTGGACACTCTATTAAAAGCACTTTACAGGTAATGAGGATCCCCTCCACCACCACCAATGTGCAGCATCCACCTGGTGCACCATAGTGCACCAGAACACTCACCCCACATCAGCTATCAGTGGGGAGGAGAGCCGAGTAATGAAGCCAATTCATAGATGGGGATTATTAGGAGGCCATGATTAGTAAAGGCCAATGGGAAATTTGGCCAGGATGCCAGGGTTACACCATACTCTTTTCGAGAAACACCCTGGGATTTTTAAAGACCACAGAGAGTCAGGACCTCGGTTTTACATCTCATCTGAAGGACGGTGCATTTTTACGCTATAGTGTCCCCATCACCAAACTTGGGCATTAGGACCCACATGGGCCGCAGGGTGAGCGCCACCTGCTGACCCCACTAACACCTCTTCCAGCAGCAACCTTAGTTTTTCCCTGGAGGTCTCCCATCCAGGTACTGACCAGTCTCATACCTGCTTAGCTTCAGGGTTGCCAGTTGTGAGTTGCAGAGTGATATGGCTGCTGATGAGACTCATTATTTGAATCACCATGTGGGGACTATGCAAGTAGTGCTTTTATTTCTTACTTTACTCTCCAACCACCTCCACTGTCATACAGTGCTGAGCAAAGCCCTTTAAGTGGTCCTTGGTGAGTGAAGTCTTGCAGTTTTTACCAACATCACTGAAAACCTTTGCTTTCTACTAACTTGTCTCTACTAATCAGTTACTGTAAGTAAACAATTTGTAGCACAACAAACAATGGTGCAGCTACTGGGATGAATTCATTTAATTGAATCTGCATTTTTCTGTCATTTAGACAGCAGATGGGAGTCCCCTTGACTGAAAACAGGGGGTCCACCAGCAAACAGGGAGTCTGAGCATAGCTGGCCCACCTTGGGAGAAGAGCAGGTGAGGTCATTTGAGAAGCAGTTCAGGTCATTCTATTAATAAGTCCTCAGACATTTGAGTATGTTCTGTTAATAAGCTTGAACCTTCAGCAAAAGGTAGGATGAGTTCAACAAAATGGGAATCTTTTTTTACAAAATTGAATAATTGCTTCCTAAAGTTTTTGTTCAGTGTTTTTTTTACGTTTTCAAGAAAATAAAAATTGGTACAACTGCAAAGAGAATCGATGAACTGTGAAAGTATATCTTGTTTCAGAGAACAGAAAAACAATGGTTCAGGTGGGTAGCTGCATCAGCATGCGTAGGCTGCAAAGGAACAAGTAATAGGTTTATTCCGTGCTGAAAAGAGAAGAAAGAAAACACAACGTTTCGGCCGTGGAGCCTTTTTCAGGTGTGGAGAGAGAAACAATGCTGCCTAAAGCTTTCCTCAGAAAGTTTTCCTGAGTGAAATTCATCATTCCCCACAATGTTTAATTTTTAAATTGAAAAAAATTGAGGACTTGTACAGCTAATTCACAAATGGGTAGTTCACACTGGATGCTTTTTGGTCATCCATTTTTTGTAAATTTAGTGTCTGCACAGTACTCTTTCATTTTGTTCTCCAATATGTGCTAAGCAGGCAAATATAAATCACGTAACAGTTCTTAATGTTTTAGGAGCTTGTGGCTCCTTGCACTTGTTTTTACTAATAAAGGAGAAAATTTTAAAATCTATTTAATTGAAAATGTGTTCCCCGGAATATATTGGAACATATATTTTTGTAAGACATAATAATTCTTATCAGGTTACATTAAGGCAGCTCCTGGATCGTTCTTGCAGAATTCTGTATTCCTCATTATAGTGAATCCCAAATATATCTGTTGTTTATATCTGACTTACAGCTATTTTTCTTTTTCCTAAGGTAGAGAAGACTACAGCAAAAGAAACAGGTGTGCCTCACTCTTCAACCAGCAGTCTGACTTTGACTTTGGCAGCTAATGGCCATTCTCTTTTCTTTAAATGAATTTGTGAACTTGGTACCACGACATTTCGATGTGTTTTTTTTATGTCTCTCGCTCTCAAACTGGCTAATTTCTCATGTAATTAGGAAGTTTTGAAAAAGGGATAAAGTCCTGCTACTTGGTCAGCTCTGCAGAGTGGCACGAGGGCAGGGGTTAGGGGCGTCGATCCTGTTGCAGCTAAATCGTTGGCCACCATCGCGCTTCAGTTACTGTCACTGAAGGACGTGTGTCACATGCAGCCACAGCATCTCTCGAGGACGAAAATTTTCATTCACGGATGTCTGCTCCGTGGTCCCAGTTTCTCTTTTAAAGAGAAATGTAAAGGCCCTTACATGGAGGGGAAGCTGGAGCACTGCTATTTCTGGACCCGTCACCACACACCTGGCGAAACTGCTGCTCTGGCACAAGGCCTGTGGGAGTATCTGCTGTAACACGAATGGCGATAATTCGTACCTCACTGGAGGGATGACCAGAAAGAGGTTACTCAAATTGTTTTCTCTTTTTTGTTTTGTTTCTTACAAAACCTTTATTAACTCAGGTGTAGAAAAGAAGGTTCTTTAAACTGTAGAAATGTTTGAGCGGTTTAGAAACCAGTTTACAGAAATTACAGTTGCCTTTTTTTTTTTCTTCCTTTGAATGTACTTGTAAATAGATGTAGCAATACAGGAAAGGAGCACTGTTAAAAATAGTCAGAGACCACTGCAGTTCAGTTTGTATGGATCATCCATTGTTTTTGTCAGTGAAGATACTGGAAACCTATATCAAGAGTGGGCAGGGCTGGAACAGTGTTCTGCCCACTGTGCTCAGTATAGAGCAGCTTGGTCAGGTCCTGGTACAGGAATTTGTCTCTTTATATACTGCCTTTACTGTGAAGATGTATTTATTCCTCTGATCTACGAAGAGCTTCGCAGCTCTTTTATTGTGCACTGGATTATAGTAGCCAAATACTGGATGGGTGGCCTCAGACGTAACCGTCTATATGTGGGACCATAAAAGCATTCATCTTAATGGTGGAGTTCAGTATCTATGAACTGATGTGCATTTTCAGTTGGAAGGACCTTGAATGTTTAATGACGCATAACTGGCATCATCAGCTGTGAGCAATTTGCCTTAATATCCACACTGTCATAACGCACAGATATACACATGAGGGATGCGTTTGTTTATAGTCAAAGGCCGCTTTGTCCTACTCCACTGATGATAAAAGACAGGAGGAATTGTAAATTCCTGCAGGTATTTAAGAAAGCGCTCTGTGGTTGTCACCTAGTCAGTTCTGCACTCTGCTTTGACAGTACATTTTAATGTTCTTAACTTGTAAAAGATCAAATTAAGCACCTGAAAGGGTTATTAAATTAACTGTGATCACTAAGGCTAGTTTGCTTTTTTAAAATCTTTATGAATTCATTTGACATGCTGTACATGAAGTAGTATACTGTAGTGTAGATTCCTTTCCTTTACGTGTTATTTCACATTTGCATGTTTAAATGTAAAAAATATTTCTTCAAATAAGATAAATCCCCAACAGGAGATTAACTGTTTGCTCAGGGTGAATGTATAACAGTATTTTAATACGGGTATTTTTTAAATTACTTATTTGAAGGACATTATAAATGAATTTTCTGCTATGATGGACATATGTCACACTTCCTGTCGTTTCCCTTTGAAAGTTGATTAAACTGCTCTAATAAATGCTAACTCTTGCCAAGTTATTTTAATCCCTTGCTTATTTTTTTGTTTGAAACCTGCCTCTTGCTGAACTACATTAGGCTCCATAGGTTTCTCGATCTCACTGAAAACGTGGGTGATCCATTTGAGTCATGTAAAAAATTATTTGGTTTGTATGGAAATATTAAGTATTTAGTTTGGTAATTTGAGTTAGTACTGTTTTAAATCTTCAAGCTTTATTCTTTTAATGTTTTTTTATTTAGTATTTGGAAACCTGTTTATATTTACAGCTGTACTTTTTTGTATATATCTTCTATATCTTCGTTTTATATGTAAAAAAAATGTTGATGTGACCCCACATGTGCAGATGATGCAAATTTGACAAACCATTCACTTCTTCATTTTCAAACAATAGTTGCATCAATGTCACTGGAGATTTTTAATGCTTTCTCCTTTAATGGAGTGTTAAGAACTCCTTTTAAAACTTCAGAACTTATGATTGTTTTTTCAGGCTTTCGACAGTACTGTACAAACACTATATATGCTTGTTACCCAGATTACATTAATGACATCCTGCTTAGATATCTTACTGGTGTATTACCCTTCCCCATTTTTCTGTATTGTTCAGATCTCATTTTCCTGAATTACCTTACTGCTGGACCCTGGCCATTCTTCAGACTGAAACATTGGGTTTTGTTATTGAAAGAATAGCAAACTACCTCAGGATGTTTCTTCCAGACATTGGATCTGCTGTTTTGTGTCTCTAAATGCATGCTCAGAGTGCACACTACATTGAATTTTGTCTTGGATTCTTCAGTTATCCAAGTAAATTAAAACTTTTTGGTTTACCTGGAGGGTGAGGAAAGACCTTGAAAAAACCAATGACTTTCCAGGGGGAAAAAAATGAAGTGTTTTTCAGTGAAACAAAGTGCCAAATGAGAAGGCACAAAAGAGTAAAGGGTGATCAACACACTTCTTCCCTGTGGAGTGGCTTTTTCACAGGTTTTGACAAGTCAGGTGGGCTTTTAAATGCAGAAATGTGACCAATGTTAAGGGGTGGCCCATGGAGACTATTGAATACTGTAGTCATTATCAGCTTTTCATCCCATAGGATCCCAAAGCTTATAGGGGGACCCCACTTCACCCACAAGTAAAGTCCAGCACCCACCTTGTTGATTTGCCATCAGAAGAAGACAAAATATTAATTTAATAATTTAATTAGGGGGAAAATGTAGGTTGACCAAACGGACCAGACCTATAAAGGCATTTCTTGAATAGCAATGTAGGGAAATAGGTGAGACCATTGCTAAGCATTTTGGTCCATTTTGGCTTTTGTAAGCTCCAGGTTCTTCGATAACCCAATACAAAATGCTATATATATATATTTTAGAATTTCCTCTATATTTAACACACATGCATTGACAGGAATGTGACTTGAAAACAGTTTCATGCTTTACTGTTTCTTCAGTACAGTTCTTGCAAAAGCCTCCAGCTAGGTCAGTTGATCACATGATGGATGTAATGCAAATCTCATGTTTTCCTGCGAATTGTCTGTTGTAAACAGGAGGATAGATGGCCTGTTTCTATTAAAGATTATAAATAGAACACAGTCAAAATTAACCTTTGAATGGAATCAGAGCTAGGTGGTGCTATGCTTGGCTGATCTTAACCTTGGATTGAGACTATTCATGGTGTGAAGGGTAAAGGACCCCTGTGAACCCTGACCAATGGAAAAGGAAAGCTGGGGAAATGATGGCATCATACACTAGCTTTACCATGCTGTTGCTTTGTTCTAATGAAAGAATGGTTGTCCTACATATGACAGAAGGGTTTTCTGAGGGGGGATAACCTATATCAGTGCAACCACATGTACTTCGTCATGTGAAGAGAATTAAAAAATAAACATTTTAAAGTTCTGAGGCAATGGCGTTGGTGTTTTAAAGTTCAGTACAGGTTGATTTGTTTTAGAACCAAAAGCATTGTCACATGTAAAAGACTGCAGCTGGAGTTTTCTGTGCAGATCTAAAATGCTTCCAGAATATTTTTGCCTTTTATATTTCATAGAGTTTATTTTGTGCTGGGCTTGAGTCCTATCGTGACTTTGGATTCTGCTATGCAATATTAAGGTCACCTTACATGAGTGCATGACCTCTTCTGTCATATTTGTTATATTTTGATACGGAAGATGGTATCTATCCCACAGAGCCGACTTTTAAAGCCCTTGTATTTCCGTAGGTAAAACCAAACAGTTTACCATGTTTTAAAAAATCTATAAAGATACTCAAATGCCTGACATATTCAACTGTGAAACCTCCCCCTCTTTTCAATGTGTGTTGTTTAAGGAGTGACAGCTGAAGGTCATGAAAGAGAACATTTTACATCTCTGCAGTGTGATAGAGTTGTTGATTTTCTGACTTTGTTCCTTATGCATTAGTTTCACAGCATGGCAGTTCTAATTGTACAGCCACTATTGTGCATTGGCAGTTGGATGGTTCTCATGATGTAGTTTTGTTTTGGCATTTTATTCATTTTATAATTCATAGCCGATAGCATATTTTAGCAGACTGTTCTATGCATACCTGTCAGGGATATTGGAACGGTACTGAATAAGAATCCCTTAGTGACTATCCTGGTATACTGCAATTCCAATAAGGATGTGTTTAAATAGGAGGTAATCAGCTTGCTGGAACTGGATGGCTCTCGTGGTTTGCATGAGAGGAATATTGAAAACCACCCCTGGACAAATTTAAACACTGCACCCATTTGTGACACACCACTGAAATCTATAGACAGGTTCTTCTGCCATGGTCTTAAAGAACACCAGGTCATTTTGGCAGTGTTAGCAGAACTGGATGTTCTTCCAACATCTGTCACAGAGAAACTACTGAAGGCTCATTTGGTGCCTGTCTGCCTGGTTTGACTAACATCCAAAGCCATTTTCTTTTTGGGCAGGGTAATATCTAAAGCCTTTTGCTATGGGCAGCACAAATCTGAAGTGAAAGTGCTTCAAAGAAACATGGAAAGTTTCTTAATGTACCATGAAACTATCGCAGCAAGATTTTTTGCTTATCCGGAGTCTGAATTTCAGCAACTCCCAGTAGAAGAAAATCAAATATGATAGAAGTGAAAGAACATAGCTGTCACCAGCAATAGAACGCATTTTTCCATATTTTATGTTTGAAGACATCATAACAGTGGTTGGCCTAATTATCAATTTTTGAATATATAGCCGATTAGGATCGATATTGAAAGAGACACCCAACAAGATTGCTGAACAGTGAAAAATAAGCCAAGGCAAGGAAGTGCCTTGTAATGATTGCTTCATTCTGAAGCAAGAGAACATTCTTCATCCAAATTCAAAGTCACAAAAGGGACTTATAGCTTCTTTCTTAAAGCTCTAGTGTGTTTTAAAATGATAAAAAAAGCAAGAATTACTAAAATACCTTCAAAATGTTTTGAGTTGCTTGGCAGGAACTAAGAGTAATTTTACTGGATAACCTTAAAAAATAATCAGCCATGATCCTAAGTGGAGTTTAAAAAGTGGAAAAGGATGTTTCTTGTCGTGTAAATGATTTATTTTATCAATGTGTAAGAGCTGGATTTTCTGAAAATGATTGTCTACAAGAAGGAGAGTCCAATTCTGGTCCTGAAGAGCTTATGTGACTGTAGATTTGCTGTATTTCTTTATAGCAACAGTGCCTGCGGAGCTGGGAGAGGCTGTTACACTGCTCCAGTTAAACCAGTAGCCAGCTGGTCTAGCTCATTAAGAGCAGAGTTGGATTGAAAGCCTGCAGATACCCTAGTTCTCCAGGACAAAGACTGGATGCCCCTGGTCCAGGGGTTCAGATTAAACAGGGCTGGCATAGCAGTTAAGTGCTTTGCTGCAATTAAGTTTATACTTAATTATTCAACTTTCTCCCATATGACATAAAGGTGAAGGTGAAGACTTCAAGTTATTTTTGTGTTGGGTATACTGTTCACAAGTTAACTTGAACAGGACTGTGAAATTAATTTAAATTAGTTACTTGAATGCAGAGTATACCTCAGTATTTTATATATTAGTAGGAGAAAATGTTATTTCACTTGATACAGTGCATATGATTTCCTGAGATATCCTCACAATTAGTGTTTTGGCAAAAATATGAAAGGTTCCTCAGCCTGTACTACAAAGCTTTTTTCTTCCATGTAGTTGCAATTATAGATTAACTATAATGGGCATGATGGTGGGGGTGTTCTACCAATGCTGTTGGTGTAGATGCACTCATGCATACGAAAGGTTAATTTGCCTTCAGTCTCAGTACTAGTTTTAAAAAGATCCACCTTTTGGATTGACCTCATCTCGGAGCCTTTGGTGTGAACTAGTCCAAGTCATTGCTCTCTTCTGTCTTCCAGTGTGTCTGCACTAGTGAAAACCAGTTAACTAGATTGGAGTTAATGTGAAGCATATTTATTTGTACTTTACATTTTGTATATTTTGACTTTTATAATATAAATGTAATGTCTTGTTGTTTGGTAACAGTTGACACCTCAATAGTGTGATGGAAGAAATGTTATTTCATATTTTTTTTTAACTGTGAAGTCTACATATGTTGTTACCTGACTGACATAGATTATTTTGGAAATGAACTGAAGTATTTTCGATACTGTACATTTCTTAGAATAAACAAGTTTTTCCTGTGATGTTTTGGTTTTATTTATGCATTTGTGCTCTTCCCTGTCCTTGATTCCCCTCTTTGTTATTTTGTTCCTTGTTATGTTCAGTAGATCAGCGGAGTTGTACTTTTTACAAAGAAGGTCCTGAGAGGCCTGTTTCACAGACACACACTGCGCCTGTTTCACAGGGAGAGACATGACTGTGACATCACAGCTAGTAACTTTATGGATGTATGGTGTTTGAGACAGGTACCATCCCATTTAATAAGAATGGTTTACCAAATGAAAAGGTCGGATACATCCGTGGGTGCAATATGAGTTGCAAAAATAAAATCTGCAAAACAAACATGACCTAAATACCAGTTTATATGGTCTACACTATCTTAGCAAGTGACAAATGAACTAAACTGATGTGAGAAGTTCCATTTTTAAAACAAAAGATTTGGGCTTTAGTAAATAATAGTGGAAAGGAATATTCATTAGATTCTTACTACGATGAGCAATGCTTTTTGTCCTAATAGTTTTTGTACAATGGCTGACCCTGTGCTCTGAACCCAGGCTTCTATCTCCCTGTCTTTGTGCCTGTGTGTCTCATGGAGAGCAAGCTGGAGTATGCGAAAAGACTAATTCCTAATGCAAGAAATTGTATAGGGTTAATAAAGTGATGTTATGTTATGTTAGTGCCTCTCTGTATGTTCCAAGTCTAGCCCAATCTCGAAAACTTAGGTAAAGAAAAGATAGTACAAATTCATTGATGCTGCCCTTTGTCATTAGAATGTTCTCAGGTGTGCATTTTATAAATCTTTTCTTCTGAACTCAGGGAGATATATATATACATTTTGTTTTCAAAATGAAGATTTAAATATGACCTGGGTGAAGCTTAAGGTACATAAGAATGTAAAGTTTACAAAAGTGAGAAAGCTGACTGGCCCTTCTAGCCCATTTGGTTGTTAGTATTTATCTTTTCCATCTTTTTTTGAAAGAAGCCAGGGTTTGGGCTTTATTAACAAGGCTGCTGAGAAGTTTGTTCCATACTCACTCAACCCTTTCTGTAAAGAAGTGTCTCCCTTTCTCTCTTAAATGCACTTCTATGTAGTTTCCACTTGTGACCTCTCATTCGTATTTGTGATCTGGACCTCCAGACACCATAAAGCAAGTACTTTTAAGGGGAACATGGGTTTTAGATATATGAACCAGCTTAGCAGCTCTGTTATATACCCTGCTGAGCTGAGGTCAAAAACACATAAAAGCTTAATAATAATAATAATTGCTTACACTTATATAGCGCTTTTCTGGACACTCCACTCAAAGCGATTTACATGTAATGGGGACTCCCCTCCACCACCACCAATGTGCAGCATCCACCTGGATGATGCGACGGCAGCCATAGTGCGCCAGAACGCTCACTACACATCAGCTATCAGTGGGGAGGAGAGCAGAATAATGTAGCCAATTCATAGAGGGGGATTATTAGGAGGCCATGATTGGTAAGGGCCAATTGGAAATTTGGCCAGGACACCAAGGTTACACCCCTACTCTTTTCGAGAAGCGCCCTGGGATTTTTAATGAAACAAGAGAGTCAGGACCTCGGTTTTACGTCTCATCCGAAGGACGGCGCCTGTTTACAGTATAGTGTCCCCGTCACTATACTGGGGCATGAGGACCCACATGGACCGCAGGGTGAGCGCCCCCTGCTGGTCCCACTAACACCTCTTTAACAGAAACTCTTGCTTCTGATATACTCCTGTAACTAGTTGTGAGTGTCTATAACATGCTATTCAGACATTCTGTTTAACCAATGTATCCGGGGCCCTTTAAGTACGTATGCTCCAGAATCTGAGCTTTCAATAACTAAAGAGGCAGCACTAGTCAGGCGGACTTTTCCTGTTATGCATAAAACATAAACTAAGTGAAATCCTTAGGGGGGAAAGTGTTTAACAGCACTGTAAGCAAGATTGTGCCAAACAAATACATATCTGTCTCCATAGCAAAACATTTGGCTGCAAATTTTAAATCCATGAGCCTTTGAGACATTCAATGAAAGGCCCCACCAGTTTCCAAAGAATCCATCGTACACTACATCACTACTCTAAGTACGGTTAAACTAATCAGCTGTTTGTCAAATCAGGTTTGTCACAACGTTTCCGAAAGTGGGACAGCGTCAGTTACGCTGTGTAACATCGTATGCAGAAGCAGCTCTGGGATTGCGGACATGACGAAACTCAATGTCAACAAATTTCAATTTGTGGGGAATTCTTGTTCTTGTGCACTCGGCGCAGCAAAGTATAAGCTATCGGCTTTTGTGAAGACGCATGTTTAATTAACAGCTGTGGTTAAAAAAAAATCAAATAACTTGGATTTTAAATCATAATACGCCAAAGCAAGAACATCAGTTTCAAGCCAGGTGTCGTAGTGCTTTGCATGTGTAAAACGCATGACCCAAGGCGACAGCGAAATCAGCTTCAGAAAAACAGTCACGGTTGGGTGCACTGGTTTCCTTTTCTCTCGCACAAATGTATGCTGTATTACTAACAGCTAACTAGCGTTAACTTATTTTTTTAAAAAAACGAATGAGAATTCTTTCTCGGTATGTTACACACGATCTCCTGAGGTCATGCAATCTGTAGTACAGTATTGACGGAAAATAAGGGATGTGACGTATTATGTCGGAGGCAAGGGAGTGTAACTAGTACAACAGCTGTTTTTCACTTCCCTTCGCAAAGCTGACTTGCTTTGAGACTGTACACAACCAACATTGAAGCTCTTTTGTGAGAGGTGAGAAAATTAAGTTTCAGTGGATACAGAATAGAGTATTTTTTGCCGTTGTTATATGTTGTCTGTGCAGTCGGGAGCGGCGTCTTTCAGCTGGGCGCAGCTGAGACCATTAAACGAGAATGATTCTATTTAGGTTTTAGCTTAGTTGTGATTCAATTGCACATTTGTAATTTATGCCATTCCCTTGTCTTGGAGGTCGGTTTTGTTGTTATAGTGGCCATTGGGTAACCTGCTTTGTTGTTATTTAGCAATCACCTGTTGAGTAATCCGAGATTTAAACAACGGGTTTTAGTTTCTGATGGTCCATATAACAAGTCAAATTAATCAAAGTCTCAATTGCAATATAAAATACGATATGGCAAATGATAGGCAGATTAATTCTACTTGAATGTGAGAAAGCGAATAGCCCAGAGCAGTCCTGAAGGCAAACACACACCGAAGTTTACCAGTCGGGCAAGCTTGCGCTGTACAGCAGATAACACCACCCTTGACGGTCTTAAACCTTTAACCTTACAAACCTAGAAAACGTTACCGTGGTTTAAGAATAACCTTTGAAATTTGACTTTGGTAAGTGTTCAGCACTATGTTCACTATAGATCTGAAAGTACAAATACCGAAAGAACAGCCCTGGGAAAAAACCCTAAACTTTCAAATTAATTTGGCACTATATACTGTAGGTTCGGGTGGAGAGAACAATTGCATTTTTTTCCTTGGGAAACAAAAACCCACCTGAAGTTTTTTTTTGTTCGAAAATGAATTGCACAAGTTCTGTCAAATAATTTTAGAGACATTTTCATGATTTTCCAGAACAGTCACTTTACCATAATACTGTAGGATAACTGTTTTTCAGTCCTCCATTTGTAACTTGAACTTCCTTCCAGTTAAATTATGGTCAGCACTATAGCTAAATTCATCCAGAGGGTGTGGATTAATGCTGAATGGTCCCAACTCCTATTTCTTAATTTACTGCAATTTAATACAGCCCATTAACCTCTCAGCATGGTGGGAGGAACTGGAGCACCTGCAGAAAACCCGCCCAATTCTATGAATCCTTAAATATTTTGCACATTACATACTTTTCATGGAAAATAGGCATTTAACAATAGGTAATAAAACATACAAGACATCATGTTTGTACTGTGCCTCATGGTGAACAAACAGTTATAACAGGACATAGTCAATATGTTACATTTAATCACCAAATTTCGCCTGTGTTTCTTTTTGTCACCTGGCCTCAATGATAAGCATTGATTTGGTGATACAGCATTCGGAAAATTCTAAATTCTATAGAAATATAGAAATTATAGTTTTCTATAATTTAGTATGGCTATGAAATAAGGAGAACAAGACATTTGCTTTTCTTACGTTTTTCTCTTCACTAAATGCTTCAATATACAGTAGTTATGATTCCAGCCTGAACGATGCTTTGATATGTACTGTGTGACTTGTTAAAATGCCACTTTTTTGGTCATTCAATTAAAGCATTTCCACCTTGTTTTGTGCACATCTTGTTTTAAGGCTCCACCTTAAAACTAATTATGTCCCAGAAGAAAATGTGTGTTCTAGGTCAAAGTGTTCTGCTGTAATTAATTATAAAGTCATGGTCCGGATGGTGTAGTTAAAGTTTTCTCTCTAAAGAGTGCTCCATTAGCATTATTCCAACTGAATTTAAAACTGAAATAGCTTATAAATCATACTGAAAACATAGAGTATCTTAAGCAGGAAAATGAATGTCATTGCTGTGTGACTTCCAAGAGAACATCAGTGGCAGATCTCTTTTATCATTACATCACTTTCAGTAACCACTTATGCAGTTCAGGGTCACAGTGGCCTGAGCCTATCTGAAAGGCAGGATACAACCTGGACAGGATGCCAGTCCATCGCAGGGCAGAGACAGATACAAACACACATACATCCACTCACACCAGGGCCAGTTTTTACAGAAGCCAACATCTCTTTGGGTGAGGGTGGAATCACGAGCATGTATCTTTCTTTTATATTTTTGTTTGGCATTGCAGGTGGGGAAGTGAAAGAGCCCAGAGAGGAGTTAAAGCAGAGTTCCTCATTTATGTTCCTCATAAATGGCTGTTGTGATTTCTAGTGTGCATCAAAGAGTGATGTATGAGGACAGATATGTCCCCCCATGGCATTCAAACAGCCCATCACTTTGTACTGTTTGCAAAAGTTGTAGAATTGTGGCCTTCGTGCTGAGTTCACTGTAATTTCACTATACAAATCTTCATAATTAAAGTGATGCAGACACATATTGAAATACCAATAATTTTTACCAAGAACTGGCATAAGAACTTTGTAAAGGAACAAGTAATACGTTTATTCAATGCTGAAAATGGAAGAATGAGAGAAAGAAAACACGCTTCTTACAAGCTTTTCAGCATGGAATAACCCTATTACTTGTTCCTTTGCAGCCTACGCATGCTGACACAGCTGCTCACCTGAACTAAGAATTTTGTAGTGTTATTTCTAGCTATCCAAATTGGACCGTACACACTTTTCCAACAGGGCCTTGTTCCTTTATATTGCTGAAATGAAGAAAAGGATCCAGGTTTTGTCCACCTGTATTTCTAATGCAGTGTTGAGTGTCAAACTGCATTTGCACTATTTGCATGTCCCGACAAAAGCCTTTTTGTCTCTTTCATGACTGCAATTGCTAGGTTTGCAGCAGATAATTAAGATAAGCCTTTCCCCTTCTCCTCAAATTTGTACAGGGTATGTTTCCATGTTGTGTTAATAATTTAGAAGCTTAGAGTCACTCTTTAAAGATTCCTTCCCATAATTGCTGGTAATCTGCCTTTTAATCACATAACATGCAGTAATTGCAGGAGGTCCCTAGAATGTAATTGTAAAAGATTTAGACTATATAAGACATTCCCTTATGGAGCTCTCAGCTGGAGAGTTGATAGGAGCCACAACATAATAATAATAAATAACAACAACACAGCTTTAACCCCCAACCTCACCAACTAAATCTTCCCCAGGTATGAATCAAGGGGACAACTTTTTCAAAATGTAAGTTTTCCATTTTTTGAGAAACAGGTTTTAATGATTTTTAATGTTTTGAAGAACTCACAAATAAATACATTTTCCCCAACCCACCACCACTACCTGTGGTACCTTACAGGTTTTCTAACCAAAGAACACTTCAGATGAAATCATACAGCTATGCTAGAGGTCCTGTACAATAAATACGCTTCATCTCCTCAGATCTCCCAGAACAGAGTAGAGCTCCAGGCAGAAGGTGAAGATGCCAAAAGATAAAGCAGAGGTTTTGACACAGCTCCAACATCTTTTGAGAGTCTTTGACTTTCTCTTAGCCTCTTTAAAAATGACTGAAAAATGACTGATGGAAACCAGTCCGTCCATTTGGGGCAAGGATCTACAAGTAAATTCAAAATAATTTAAATTTCGGATACTCTGATCATTTATCATTTGTCTTCTCTTTCTCATGTTTCTTAAGTTTTTAGCTTGGGGGAGACCATCCAACCAGTTTCTGTTTCTGCCCCACATTTGGAGTTTTGGAACATGCATGTCACTTCTAACATTCATATCACTAATCTAAATAGTAACAGCAGCTAAAGGTTTATAAGACGTCTTTCACAAAATTTGTTCCTGACATTTTCAGTGGATTGCCAACACAAATAATTGATGGTGGATAAGAAAAGCAGAGAGCGTAGTAACAGGCAGCAGGAGCTGAAACTTTGAGGTAACATCCTGGTGTATCGTTCACGTGATTTAAAAATAGCGTGATGTTGAAGCCGTCTGTTGTTTCCTGTCTTCCGTTCTTCTCTGATAGAGATAATGAAGGTTCAGACCATCCGTGGAGGCCTAGAGCTGTTCCTGCTGGCTGTTAGTCTGGCCTGTCAATGCCGGTGTGCTCCAGACCCCAGGGAGAGAGCCAAGCTATTCCAGCAGGAGGATTTCCTGAGGACAGGGGGAAATGTTGTGCTGATGGAGGCAGAACTAAATGTCAACAAATACCTCCAGAAACTGAAGGAGCAGGAGGTGGCAGATTGCAGGATCTCAGGAAAGTTCCCCCCAGCTATGCACTTCTTCAAGGCTAGAAGTCTCATTGAGGAAAGCCGTGTCTTCAAGTTTTTACAAAAAATGCCCAAAGGTAATCACATTTTAACCACCGCTTAAAATTGAAGGAGTCTGAGGCCTGGTGTTGTCTGCCTTTCCTGAAATGGAAGCTTCATACTGCCTTTAATGAGTTGTTGCCTGTCTTTCTCCAGGTGCTGCCCTGCATGTTCACGACTTCTCTATCGTGAATGTTGACTGGCTGGTCAGGAATGTCAGCTATTGGCCCCATTGTTACATCTGCTTCACCACCAACCAATCAGTGCGATTTCACTTCTTCGATAAAGCCCCTTACACCAGGCTGTCGGGGTGCTCCCACTGGGTGTTACTGGATACACTGAGGAAGAAGATGGGCAATTCCACAGACTTCGATAACAGGTGAGCTTCATACTTTTATTAATGGGTAACTTTTATTAATGGGTCAGACTCCCTGGAATGGCTAATCCAATACAAACCGGTCCACACAAAGACTGCTTATTAGTCCAATAAAATTATTTTTTACCAGTGAGTAAAACTTGCTGTATGGAGAGAATTTAAATAAATTAGCTATTACATAAAGTCTGATAAAAGGAAAAATGGAACCCTTTCTTTTTCAAGTCAATATTGATAGATTTCTCTTTTTAGAATTCCATTCAGCAACGTTGAATATTCGTGCAAAAGGATATAACTACAGTTTGTATTAAAATAGTTGCACGGTAAAGATATTTAGAAATATTACAAGACATATATCAGTATCTGGCAGTGCATAGGATCCAGGAAACAGTCCCCACTGGAAATGTTCTGAGTTCTCTAAAATGTATCCAAGGTGAATAATGGTTCCTGCAGAAAATAAATGTACTGTTATCTTTGTTTCTTATGCATTTTCTGTGCTTTTCGTTGTTCGCTAAACAGCTTAATCCGAAACCTGACGATGTTCACAGAAGACCCAGAGGTAGCCTACCCTACCCAGGATTTAGTATGGAGGAAGTTTGAGGAAGTGTTTACAGCTTCCATAGGACTCATCTCTTATGCACCTATCTTTAAAGCATACTTCTATCAAGGCCTGCTCCAGTTCTACCAGGACAACATCATGTATGTAGAGCTCCGGGCTCTGCTGTCACCAGTAAGTCCAGCTACAGTACATATTAGAAGCAAGAGCAATCTTAAAAACATATACAAAAAGTTTCAAAGTCTCCTCGCGGCTTTCCAAAATTCTTTTTAGAGGGATGGATCTTGGAGGGACAGTGTAGTTGTTGGTTTTTGAAAATGCTTAATGATCTAAATCAGCTCATTTTTGGCTTAGGACCAGGATATATCAGGAGACCACAGAACGACATGTACTTGTATGTCTTTGTGAAATATTTACCTTGGGTGTGATAATGGATTACGGGTTTGATTGAATTTAAATGTACTTGAACAAGATGCTCTTCCTCAGTTCAAAACATGATACCATTGTACATTTTTGACCATGTAACATCTTCAGAAGGAAATGGATGTGTGGGTATGAAGAAAAGTACCTGTGTTGCCTTGGGCAACAATTTTCATGTAAGTCAAGCCAGGAAAGCATTTTAGGATTTGAATTTGAGGTTGCAATAAGGAGTTTGCAGAAATTGAAGAACAATACAAGATACGTTTTAAGCCCAAGTAAACTGAGAGGAGTGTCTGTCCATCTTATTTTTTTTTAAATGGTGTCATATTTGAACTGAATTTGAATTCCTTGTGGATTTTATAACAGACCTATGAGCTGGATGGAACAAGGCATGACATGGACTGGTCGATGACGGCTTATCAGCAAGTCGGCAGACAGTTTGTGGCAGATCATCCAGACTTCCTGGGAGCCCGAGTAATATTCACAGTGCACAGGTAAGTATATGGTGCTACGGAACTCTGATCAGAAAATGACAAGTATTCCTACTATTGCAGAGATGATTTACAAATATATTTCAGAATTTTTAGCCAATAGAATGCCACAGAAAATCTTGACATAAATATAAAACATTTTAGGGGTATTTTTGCATACTTTGGGGAAGTTTTTTTGCATACTTTGGAAAGATTGATATCTTTTTGAAAAAAAGCTATTACATTTGCTCATATTTTTCACAGTATTTCTGTCTTATAAAACTGTGTGAAATGTATATTGTGAAACAACTGAAATTATATTGTGAAGTACTGTATATTTTAGGCTTAGATCATTTAATACAGTACGTTTTACAAGTTATATTAAATCGTATAAATTAAATATATATACAATAGTGTGTGGTACGGTGGTGCAGTAATTAGCATGGCTGCCTCACAGTGCTGGGGCCCTGGACTCACTTACAGACCAGGGCTTCTATCTGCATGTAGTTTGGATGTTCTCCTCTTGTTTGTATGGATTTTCTCTAGGTGTTCCTCTGGGTGTGCCGGTTTTCTCCCACAGTCAAAAAACGTGCTGTTAAGTTAGTTGATTTCTGGGAAAAATTGACCCTGGTGTGACTGTGTGCGTGTCTGTTTGTGTCCTGTCCCATCCAGGGTGTACCCCATCTTGCTCTAGTTGCTTGCCAGCATAGGCTTCAGCTCCCCCACTACCTTGATTTTGATGAAGCAGTTAGAAAATAATAAAATACAATATGATATACATTGTACAAAAGTAGTAAAGTACCTTTCAACCTAAGTGTACTCCAAAGCCTTTTCTCAAAGATTGTGTAATTTATGTTGTAATGGATGGTTGAAAAAAGTGAAAATTAAAAAGCCTCCTCTGTATCTTCGGTCACTCATGCTGCCATTTGGAAATCTTTTAAAAATATTAAGCATTCCCTAAAGTTTTAAGCCCATGGTAGTTCTGAAAATCACCTTAATAGTTTTGTGAAAGACTATAACGAATGGCATTTTCGATTGATCATTGTTAACACATTATGATATAGATTCCATTTCTTGCAAAAGTTTTCATTTATTTTTAGTTTCTTTGTGAGTGCTTTGCATTTAGCCAGTACCTGTCAATATCCCAGCTCCAAGCAACCCCACTGTGAGCTAACAGCTTGCTTAAAGGCAGGTCTTCCATTGTTTCATGTGTTTAACAGGGGTATGAATGTTTCGCAAGTCAAAAAGGCCGTTGAAGATGCAATGAGGCTGAAAACAAAGTTCCCTGAAGTAATGGCTGGCTTTGATTTGGTAAGAACCTCTCAAATTTCCACAACAGCTGGAGGTATTCGCACAGCAAGCTGTGAAAATACAAAGTGAAAATTCGCAAAAGGAAAAGAAGGCCACGGAATGTCAAATGAATACCTAGGAGTTGTAATTTTAAATTTAAGGTGTCTTGTTATATTAATTGAAATGACTTATTTTTAATAAGCAAAGGCTGGAACTAGGCGTGTGTTATGCATTTTCAAGACCATCACAGGCCTTGTTCCATGGTCCTTCTTTAGTGTAAGTTTTCGTGTTTTGGTTGAAAACAGTAACTTTATAGAACGTGCCCTTTATTTGTAATTCAACAAAAAGGGGAATCATTGCAAAAGAGGGCAAATAATTTTGCTGTGCACCGTATGTCACTGAAATCATACAGAGATCCAAAGTACAGCTGTTGTAAAAACACTGTCTCCCTTGACATTAAAAATACTGAAAGTCTGAATTATTTTAAACTGAATATAGAAACCTGAATGTGCTTTATATCAATGGTTTGTAACACTTGTGATCTCTAAAATATTTTATTAATTTTGTGATGTCTTGTTAAATATCAAACTTTTCATAGGTGGGCTATGAAGATGGTGGTAACCCACTGTGGTACTTCAGAGAACCACTGTCTCTGCCAGCTCAGAGGGGATTCCAACTCCAATACTTCTTCCATGCAGGAGAGACAGGTGAGTCTAGCAGTCAGTGTGAGAAGGGGCCAGCTCATTGACCTTTTAAAGGGGCACTGCAATGCTATTTTTATATTTCAGTGTAAGAAAGAATCAGCATTGATGAGTGTATTTCAAACCACAATAACAGTAAAATGTCCCAAGTACTGTAACTTGTGAAACCTCCAATTTACATCACAAAATGCACAATTTCCAAGTGTGCTCAGCACCGTGTTCTGCAATTCAGAAGGAGGCAACAAAACTTCCGGTCACATGATGCAGCCTTATTACATTGTAAAGAAGAACTCATCCCTTTTAATCCAATAGAAATATTGCTCTGTACTTCGAGATGGTTTTATAATAATAATTTTTCTGGACACTCCACTCAAAGCGCTTTACAGGTAATGGGGACTTCCCTCCACAATCACCAATGTACAGCATCCACCTGGTTTTGCCAACAAATACTATTTATCTAGTGAACTCTGCATGCAAATCACATTGGAACATTTCTGCATTGAAATTTCTGCTGGACAACCTGTACTTATTTGCTTGTACATCACATTACATTAGTTATTACAGTGACTAGTGAGCAATAAGGAGCCTCTTCACGTTGCAATTAGTGGGATTTCTCGCTGTCCCTCGTGGTGAGATCAGGGCTCTGTAAAAACATAGTGACTTACAGTACTTTCACAAAGTTCATGACTTTGTGCTTAATTCAAAATTTGTAAATTATTTCCATAATGTCAAAAATTGGGACAGCAGTTCCCATATAAAGGTCTTGCCTCTGCTGGACCAAGGCTGACGACCCTCTCCTCCAGGAGATGATGTTAATGAACGTGACAGTGGCTGACAGCTTCGATTCTTTCTCTGCAGACTGGGATGGCATAAATGTGGACCAGAACGTGGTTGATGCTCTCTTGTTTAACACCAGTCGTATTGGGCATGGTTACGCACTGGTACACCACCCAGTTGCCAAGCAACTCTCCAGGAAGAGGGCAGTCCCAGTAGAGGTCTGCCCTATCTCAAACCAGGTAGTCCAGCTCTCAACTTGTGTCCCTTGCATCACAAAGCATGGTCTGAACCCATGGACAGCAAAGATATACCACAGCCACAACATGCACTGTGAGGGTTAATTCAAGGTACAAAGCATTAAACAATTAGAGTACTGTACCTGTTAGAGGACTCTGTTTTGTGGGTCATACTCATGAAGTTTTAAAGGTCCCTTTGAACGTTCCATTGTTAGTGACCTAACTCCTCTTGCTTGTACTTTAAAAAATGTATTTTTTCTTTTGTTCTGCTCCCATCTTATTTTGAAAAGTGTAATTTATGTATGTTTTGAACTTACCATCATTGATTAAAGGATGATTTAAGAAAATCCAGAGCTACACAGTCCTACCCACCCTCTGCCTTCACAGGTGCTGAAGCTGCTGTCAGACCTGAGGAATCATCCAGCCGCTGTCCTGATGGCAGAAAGGCACCCTATGGTGATCAGCTCAGATGACCCTGCTGCCTTTGGCTCCAGTGGGCTGTCCTATGACTTCTATGAGGCATTCATGGGTATCGGAGGAATGCGGTCTAATCTGGGGACTCTAAAGGAGCTGGCCATGAATTCCATCAAGTAAGTCCTTATTCTTCACGGATGCGGTTAATATCAGGTCCCTAGTGTTCTTTTAGTGTCAACTAAAGTTTAGTAGTTTTTCCGTTGTCTTTTCGTGCCTGTAAGCAGGTTGAGTTTGAAATGAACACAAGGGTAAATCTGAACAGTTTACATGGATACTGTGCAAACTGTGTTTCTTACACAAAATACACACTGGTAAGGAAAATTCATTCTCGATGTTAAAGAAATATTCCATTCTTGCAATAGTGAATTTTCCAATGGTTTGAAAGGTAATTTTATTATTAAGAAGTAATAGAAGTAATATCTTAATAAAGGGACAAAATAGACTCAGATCCGCTTCCTAATCTATATCAGTGATCAAGATTCTGGTATAGCCATTAAACATGTCATATTCACAGATTTCAGTCTGTATTGATCTAGGTTGTTGTTTAAATTGCTGGGTGCAGTGATAAAATGTATCAGCTATTTACTGTTGTGTTCAATGGTCAGAGCAATTAACCCCCTGTATTAGTGTAACCAATTAGATCTTCTAAGAGTTTATACCCATTACAGCAATATTGTGAAGAGAACACAAATAGAAATGTTAAGAAATTAGTCCTTGCAAAAAAATATCTAAAATATCGGACATATTGGCGTCTTACATTTGTCCATGTATGCTTGTCCTCCCATGTCTTATTTTGTGCCCTATACTGTACTTCCTGGGTAGGTTTAGGCTTGCTGCAACCCCTCCCACGAATTAGCCATTTTATGATAATGTTGGATGGATCAAACATATAATATAGCAGTTTATTCACTGAGTGTTTCTCTTGTTTGGTATTTCATGAAAAAGGCTATTGCTACACTTAGTTATTGAGCGGGTGGGGACTCTATTCAGCAAAGATTCAAAGGAAAATTAACAACCCTTTCCTATCTGAAAGGTGCCCTGTCCTGTTGTTTATCCTAATAATAACTGGGCCTTAGATAATTGGAATATTAAATGAACACATAATTTGTGATCTGTTTATTTTATTTTCACCTCTAAAACGTCTCGAGACATTAAGTTTTTTTAAAAATAAATGACAGCTCCTGAAATCTGCCAATCTGTAGGCTCTTTAAGGTATCAAAATGCTTTAATTAAGCTAAGGAGTATTGTAATTACCCACTGATGTACTGTAACTATATTAGCACTGGACCACCAGGCAAAAGATGTAGGGATAATGAGGAACCAGAGAGGGAGAAACCATCCTAAACGAGTCTCCACTTTTCCCATTGATCTTCAGAGAAGGGCTCTGACATACTGTTTTCTGTTTCCCAGGTACAGCTCCCTGCCGCCTGAACTGAAGGAGAAAGCAAAAGCACTGTGGCAGATGAAGTGGGAGGCTTTCATTTCTGAGACATCAAATCTTCACTTGAGAGACCTATAAGAGCTCAAACCCCCGGTTTGTTAGGTTTTAATAATAATATCAGTAATAGATTCCTTGAACTTGTCTACCATTTTTGAACTCTGAAGGATCCCAACACACTTCACATATAGGAGGGGACCCACTCTGTCATCCACTGAAAGACAGTACCCACCTGGGTAGCCATTATGTGCCAGAGGCATTATGGCCATTATGGGCCAGGTTCTGCAAGAGTCAGATTTTAGAATTTATGCCATTACTCTTACAACCAGTGTGACAGAATCTTTCATGGCCCCATTTTAAACTTAGGGGGGGACCCTCCTACATTACTGTGGCATAATACTGGGCCCTTGGTTTGGAAATTCAAGTCCAGAGGTTAGAGTGCCACCTAATGGTTCAACAACTCAACAGCAACCATAAACTTCTCCAATCCCTGTACTGACCAGGCCCAAATTTGTTTAGCTTCTGAGATCTGACAAGATAAGGCTACATGGTAGGACTGTTGCTTGGAAAGCCCTGGGTTAAAGTGATGCAAGGTATTGCAATAATGACAGAACTGGTAGCCTTTTAATATGTCCTACTGACATGTCACAATTACCTGCTGAAATCAATAACAAAAAAAAAAGTACTAATGTTTGTGTGTATTGTATTGTTTGTGTTTTGAATTGTTTGTTTTAGGATTGTGATAAACTTTGTTTTTTAAAGGTTTATTCACTACTAAGTAGTGCAATGTTGTAGGTAATAAGACTGTTTTACATGTAAATAAGTAAAATTGTAAATATATTTGATACATTGTGTTTTACATTTTGGACAGTTTTCCTTTGTGCAGGAAAGGTACATAAACACTGCAGTGGTAAAACTACCAAACACCAATCTTTTTGGCATATCTTCAAATATTACTCAGCTACCATCTAGTCTTATTTTTCAGGTTAGGAAATTATAGGATAGCGTGAAAAACTGTCTGGACTATAAAGAAGGGAATGAAGATGTCTGGGTCAATACAGCTGGTAACTCTAGCTACGTAAACCTGTGGCATTTGAGGTTGTGGTGGGAAATTGCAGAACTACCAGAAATTGACAGATGTGTGTAAAGTATCTGTCCTTGTTAAAATAGTCATTAATACAAATGGTTTGTTTTTATATTTTCTTACTATTTTGATCCTAACAGTAACAATTAAGAATTTGCTCCCCTCCTACACTAAATACTAGTATTAAAACTAGATGCATTATCACTAAAGCATTAATGCATCTAGTGTTCCTTAAAATCAGCTAGAATCGATGCCAAAAACAGCAGGAATATCACATTGTCCTGCTAAGGTCAAATATGAAAATACAGAGGCATGTATCTACAGTACAGCAGACATTTATATACAACTCTTACAGGGTGTTGCAAAAATACTTTGCAATTTTCTAACATTAAAACATTGTGTTCAGGGAGGACTTTTCTGTGGACCATTTATCAAAACCTATTGGTTTGATCTGTTGGAAATGCTGTATGTGCAAGAATTTTTCTATGATGGTATCAGATTACACCAAAACTAACATGTTTAATATTTTCTGTGGATTAAAAGATCCCCATAAACACAGACTGTAATTATTACTGAAGATTTATTGCTGTAGCTCATTACAGTAAAAATTAAAAAGATAAAAAGGTAACTGCATTGTCCTTAAAGTCACTTTCATCGACTGGTTGTATTAAACTGTGCAAAGTAGCGATCATCAGGAGCATTAGTGTACACCTCCTTCTCCAGGCTCTTCCTCCTAGAATGAGAAAAGGAGATGTGATTAAAATATTCAGGTATTATGTTTTAAAGGTCATTTCTTTTTTTCTCATCAGTATTAAATCATGACAATAGATACAAAACTTGATTAATAATATTTATTATATTGTTGATTAAACATACAGTATATATGAGTGTTTGGGATTAACTGTCTTAACTGAAAGATAACCACAGAGCCCTATACAGTAGGCAAGGAAGTTGGAAACCCTAAAACGAGTGAAACATCAGGTCCCTAGCCATGCCAAAGAAGAATAAAAGTGACAAGATTACAATAAACATCTTAGAAGTAAAACATCAACATTTAGGGAACATCAGCTGGGATGAACTCTTTACCACTTCCTTACAAAACTGCTTCAACTCTGTGATGCTTGAGAGCTTTCTTGTATACACAGCTCTCTTAAAGCCCTGCCACAGCATCTCTATGTGTTGTAGGTTTGGATTGTCTAAAAGTGTTGAATTATAAACTCTTAAGGGGGTGTAATTACTTTATCACCATACTGCAAGTTGCAAGGGGTAATTAGAAACATGCTTTAAAACCCTTTTCCTACGCACACTGGAAGCTGAAGGTTTGCAGTACTTTCACTATTCTATTTCTTGGTGACATTGGTAACTGGAGCCCTTGGTAAGAATGGAAGACAGTGAGTATTAAACAAGGCCATTATGCTGAACTCAAATTCTGCTATGACTCAAGCTTCCATACTTGTTTTTCTGAAGCCGTTGTCAAAAGTAACTATGAAAATACAGTGTGATACTGAAGTGGGATGTACAAAGGTTTTGTAAAACCAAGACATGGAAAACCTTTAGAAATATAATTTATTTTTGGTAAGTATATGAGGGAGAACCATTTTAGAGGTTGAATAAAGTACTGCAGGATACAAACTACTCCACATCCTAAACAGTGATAGTTTGAAGTAATGGTTTCCCTTATTAAATAAATACACTGCACGTGTGAGGCTTTTTATAACTGTTCTTTGAGCAGATGTTGATGCTGAAAGTAATCTGAAGTCTTTGTCTGACTAAAAGAAGTAAGTGGCTATTTATAGTATAGCTGAGCAACAGTGGAAAGGTGATGACAGTTTTAGGATTTAGGAAGTCTGCAATGTGGGTTTAGACTCATGAACACTTCTAGCAGTATAGTTTCTATTCTTGAAAGTAGGGCTCAGGAACAGAAGTGATGATAACATAATGAATACATTTGGAAATAATAGTTTAGAGGCCTGTAATTTTACCCTAGAAAGCCTGTTCTTGGTGAGAACTATGGCCTGTCCAATAAAAACATGATGCATATAGTTGCAAGAAAAAGTTTGTGAACCCTTTGGTATTACCTGGATTTCTGCATTAATTTCTCATAAAAAGGTGGTCTGCTCTTCAACTAAGTCACAATACTAGATAATCTTTTTAAAACTTATAACACACAAACAATGGAACTTCTTCCCAATATTGAACACATCTTTAAACATTCACAGTCCAGGCTGGAAAAAGTATGTGAACCCTTGTATTTAGTAACTGGTAGAACCTCCTTTAGCAGCAATACCTTCACCAAACGTTTCCTGTAGCTGCTGATGAGACTTGCACAACAGTTAAGAGGAATTTTAGACCATTTCTCCTTAAAAAAACCTTTCAGGTCATTGACATTTCTGGGATTGCTCGCATGAACAGCTCTCTTCAGGTCATGCCATGGCATCTCAAATGGGTTGAGGTCTGGACTCCAACTTGGCCATTCCAGAACACAAATTTTCTTCTGTTTAAGCCATTCTGTTGTTTTTTTACTCCTGTGTTTTGGGTCATTGTCTTGTTGCATCACCCAACTTCTATTGAGCATCAGGTGACAGACTGCTACCCTGATATTATCCTGTAAAATTTTGAATTCATTGCTCCTTCTATGACAGCAAGCTGTCCAGGCCCTGAGGCAGCAATGCAGCCCCAAACTGTGATGCTCCCTCCACCATGCTTCATGGTTGACCTGAGGTTTTGGTGTTGGTGTGCAGTGCTTTTTTTCCTCAAAACATAGCGTTGCACATTTCTGCCAAAGAGTTCACCTTTTGTCTCATCCGTCCACAGAACATTGTCCCAGAAGCATTATGGAACATCCAGGTGATCTTTCGCAAACTTGAGACGTGCAGCAATGTTTATTTTTTGGAGAGCAGTGGTTTCCTCCGTGGTGTACTTCCATTAACACCATTCTTGTTCAGTGTTTTTCTTATAGTGGGCTCATGAACAGAGACTTTGACAAGTTCAAGAGATTCCTGCAGGTCCTTTGCTGTTACCCTAGGGTTCTTTTTCACCTCCTTCAGCATTGCGAGCTCCTAGCGAGAGTAGCAACAGTACTACATTTCCTCCATTTGTAGAAAATGTGTCTTACTGGGGATTGATGGACACCCAGGCCTTTAGAAATGCTTTTGTAGCCTTTTCCAGCTTTATACATCTCTACAATTCTTCTTCTAAGGTCTTCTAATATTTCTTTTGATCAGCTCATGAACAGCTCTTTCTTGAGAAGAGCAGACTCTGTCAGTAACCACCCTTTGTGTGCCTTTTTTATAGGACAGGGCACCTCCAACCCACACCTCCAATCTCATCTCATTGATTGGAACACCTGACTCCAACTAGCTTTTGGAGAAGTCATTAGCCTAGAGGTTCACATACTTTTTCCAACCTTGACTGTGAATTTTTAAACTGTGTTCAATAATGACAAGAATAAGTACAATTGTTTGTGTGTTATTAGTTTAAGCAGATTGTGTTTCTCTATTATTGTGACTTAGTTGTAGATCAGAACACATTGTTATGAGTATTTAATGCAGAAATCCTGGTAATTCCAGAGTTCACAAACATTTTCTTGCAACTGTATATGTTTACAAAGAATGCAAGAAGAGGTTTATTTATTGGAGAGTTTGAATGGCATTGAAAATGGAGGTGTAAATATTGGATTAGTTAGCACACAAGGCATATCAACCACCACTGACATTAAATATAGTATCCAAGACTTATTTGGTGTATTGAGGCCAATACACTGCAGTTCTGGGCTCCTTTCTGAATTTAAATCTCTGATTGAAGTCCATTAAAGGGGAACAGCAGGCCAAATTTCTCAGACCAGTTCTCAAATTTTGGTAACAAAATAAAGTTAGACAAAAAAAATCAAATTTTTGAATTAAGCACAAAATTATGAACTTTGTGAAAGTGCTTGCTTTGTGAAAGTACCATATTGTCGCAAAGCTCTATTCTCACCACGAGCAAGAGTGAGAGTTCTTGAGAACTGTGAAGTGATGCAGCTAATGTAATGTGATGTATGAGCAAATAAGTACAGGTTGTGCAACAGTTATTTCACCCCAGAAAGTTTCCAACGTGATCTACAAGCAGAGTTAACAAATAAGGTCCATCTTGAATTCAAGAGCAATATTTCTATTGGATTAAAAGAGATTTATTCACAAGCCTGCTTATTTACAATGTCATAGGGCCACATCACATTATCGGAAGTTTTGTTGCCTAGTTCTGAATGGAAGAATATGGCGCTGGACATATCTGGAACTTTTGTTTATTCTGTTTTGAAAATTGGAGGTGTTACAGAAGACTGTGTATATTTTTACTTTTATTGTGGTTTGAAATGCACTCACCAATGCTGATTCTTCCCAACCCCAGAAAATAAAAATAGCGTTCCCCTTTAAGAACCACTTTACGGTCTACAAATTGTATTATTTCTCAAGCTATCTTGTTTCCCTATCAATTGAATCTACTGGGCACTGTGATTCGGAATGAGTACCATTGTCTGTTTTTAAGAGTACAATTAAGAGTAAAATATCAATAGAGTAACTCCCTTCCCAACCTCCTCAGCAAACTCACTGGGCTCGCTGCTGCTCCGAGAGCTTTGCGTTGATGTTGTCCTGGGCTCTGCGAAGCTGTTTGTTGAGTCTGGCTTGCTGGCGCTCCAGGAGCAGGGCAGCACGGGCACAGCTCACCTGGTACCTGTCCCACTCCAGCTCCTGCTTACGCTCTTCGGCTTTGGCCCTCTGCGAGAAATACACAAGGAGCGATTGGCCACTACAAGTCTGTGTTCCTTTATGAGAAGAGAAGCCAAGATGAAGGAGAAAAAAGACATTTGTGGTATCTATCCATCCATAATCAAAAGGCTCCTTATTCATTGTAAGAGCTGCTTCAGGCAGGGTTCTAACCAGGAACCACAGGGGGCTATTTGAGACTTCATTCTGGACTGTTGTCAGTGAATTGGTGGGCAACCACACACATGCTACACACACATTTACACAATTTAGAGACACTAGCAAAACCAGCAAGTCTTTGGGAGGTGGAAGGAAATTGCTGCAATAAATTAATTAAACATTACAAGCACAATACATTTCCTAGGGTAGCTTAAGAAAGACTCAATGCCAATAAAAAGCTTCGGTTCTGCATGCCAATATTACTGTCATTCACTTCAAGGTGTAGACTTGGGGAGCATCAAAACAAATCACAAAGTAGTGTCACCCATTTCATATTTTACCAGTAATATCGTATATAAAGATGCAGAACAAACAGATTATCTTCATGAACAAACTTCAGAGTAAGTTAGAATTTTTAAAAAATTAAATTCAAGATCATTGTTATTTTAATTCTTACCATTTTGTCCTGTGCTTGCTGGAGCTGGAAGTTTGTAATCTCCTGCAGGTCCTCAGGCCTGAGCCCCTTCCAGGTGTCCGGTCGAATACGCTGAGGGCCGAGGATGCTAGCAGCCTGTTCAGGGTTCTCCGACAGAAGGTCTCCCTGCAGGAGGTTGGAAATCTCCACCTGGTTGTCTTCTTCCTCTTGCTGTTTTTCCAGTTTCTTTTTCTCAGCTCTGTCAGCAGCCTGTTGAAAAACACAACACAGTTCAGTATAGTCTTAAAATAAGTATTAATTTTTTTTACGAAAGGCATTCCAGAGAGCTTAATAGTTATATAGTTTAATCCCCCTGTTCTCTCAGAGATAAACTTGAAAAGCTTAGGTCATTTCTATGTGCTTTTACACTTCAGACACATCATGAACAAGCTCCTGTGCAACATAAATGTCTAGTAAAGAAAAGGGACATATTTGTAAAGACTGTATTTAAACAGCAGCACAGAAAGAATATTCCTGACCTCCAGACATGCCAGCTTTGCAGTGTCTAGTTGTCACATATCTGTCATAACCCCTGTCAGTTCTTTGCTACTGAGCCACATGACAGGTGTCCTGCTTTTAAATGTCAGATAAACAGTCACTACACGACTGCCCCCATTTTTTGCATTCCTTCAAAATGACAATAATAATTTTGTAAAAACATCATGCAACATAACCAGTTCCCAAACTGTGCTGTGAGGTAAACAAGAAGATTTTGCATCTGGTTTTGTTATTATTTACACCTTCTCCTAATTTTGTGGAAAAGAAGATTCATTATCTTTCAATATTTGTAATACAAAGTGATTCATTAGCACTACAGTAGGGGAAATTGCGCTTTTGCTTTTTTACTAAGACTTTTTGTATTTTCCTCAACATAATTATGTAGAGTCTATCATAAGCAAAACATAATGTCACCACTGATGAAACAGTGAATGTTTATTTTTGATTGCTTGTTTTCTTTTAAAAACGGTGCAAATAATATAATGTGATAGAGATTTAATAAAGAAGTAATTCTCATAGTGATGAGATTGGTTAAGTAACTGCTGTAAAAAAACAGCACAAGAAATTGTATTCTAAAGAGGACTGGTGTTAAATCAACAGGTACATCTGTGTTCAACTACAGTAAGTGTGTACTGTGAAACATACTTTTTCATTTAAAAACCCTTCAGTTTATTATTATTTTTTGGTGTAGCACAAGCACTAATAGAAATAAAAACTGTTTATGTACACATATTCCATGTTTTAAACATATTACATGTTTAAAAAATGTAATGTACACAATAATCTACAAATAGTCAGAGGGCAAGTAATGTTTCCACTTTAATCTTTTTTCAGCAAGCCTGCATGATATCCACCATGAGAGTATCTGAAAATTAAAGACAGCAGTTCAATAAAGATATTTTATAATAGAAGGCTTAATGAATTAGAAAGGCACAGCAGCAAAGCTGCTGCCTCAACAGATAATTGAGGATGATAGACAATGGATGATGATGGATAAATAATTGTTATGAATTTCAAAAGAATGTCTACAGTATGGAAGAAGCTTACTTTTGCTAAGTTGAAATCTTTAATGGATACAGCCACGGCTCTCCTGGTTTCCTCTTGGATTTTTTGCAGTTCCAGCGCACAGTTATCCAGAGCCACTCGAGTCTGGTCATAAAGCCTGTCTAGAGTTTACAAAAAAAGATACACAGACATGAATCCTCCAACACTGCTAGAGTTACTGCCTAGAACAATGCTAAACAAAACTGATTTTTGAGTTTTTTGTAAGCAATGCATTCTTAATGCTAGCTAGTCTCTTTGTTGGTTTTGGTTGTCACAAACTTATAAATATGAAATATGAAAATGTCAGAAACCTGTAGAAGGGTGTATTCAGCATACTGATGGAAGTACCTGAGGTTTTCTCAAGAGAGCAACATTTTAACATATCCCTGGGATTAAAAGCTCCTTCTCTCACCTGCTATAATATCAAAGATGTGTAGTGTGACAACGTAGTGTGATCTATTTTGTCAGGCAGAAGATTGCAATTATATATTTTTTCTTTATAAATAGCATGGAATATTGCTACTATTAATGACATTGAGTGCCTCGTGCAAATGAAGGTTCATGATATAGTACTTAGTTGTCCTTCAAATCCACAAGTGAGGGAGCAGACTGGATTCTACGATCTGTAGAACACAGTACATTCACTACAAGAGCAATCCTTCCTCATTCCTGAAATCAAGAAGCTCAGCCTGTCAGGTTTTCATGGGAAACAAGTGAATAAACCTTCCAAAGCAGCCCTAGCACTTCACAAATTGATACAAATTGTATGGAGAGTCCTCCATCCCTCAGAAAGAGATTATACTTTCTTCTCTGATAGACACAAATCCTTTTCCAGAATTGATTATTTCTTTATTTCTCAAAATATCATGCAACACACTAGGGATGCAGGTATTCATCCTAGAACCATCTCTGATCATAGTCCTATACAGTTATTACTTTCACATAATGAACCTGACATAATAACACCTTTAGGAAGATGGAAAATGAATTACTCTCTACTACAAGAGTTGATATAAAAAGGCAAGTAGAGCAGAGTTTATTCAAAATTTTATGGAAACCAATTGAAATCCTGTCTCTGACCCCAATATTATTTGGGAATAACTTATGTGTTCTTTAAGAGGAGAACTCATTAGAATTGCTACTTTTCATAAAAAGCAAAGAGAGTCAGAAGGAGGTTGCCTACTCACCAAAATGAAGGCTATACAGCTCAAATTATCAAAATAATTTAACAAACAAGACTGGGCTTATTTGATGCAAGTACAGCTACAATATAATGACTTATTAAGGGTAATAACAGAGAGTGCATTAAGTAGAGCACAACTTCTGTGAAGAGGGGGAAAAAGCAGGGAAAATGCTTGCAGCCAGGTTAAAAAAGCGCCGTATGCACAATACTATTAGCAGCATCAAGAAAATGGACGGGCCAATTATCAAAGATCAGAAAGAAATAAGTTCAGCCTTACTAATCTGAAGCCTCTAGCACATTGGAAGATATGCAGTGCTTTCTTGCAGATACAGAGCTCCCAAAACTTAGTAGAGAAGATAGAAACATTCTTGAGTCATCTCTCACTCTATCAGAAGTTAAAGAAGACATTGCTTCCTTTTCTCACAATAAATCACCTGGACCCGATAGATGTACAGCTGAGTTCTACCAGACATTTCAGTCCAATCTTACTGCAAACATTTAATAATATGTGGTTAACAGACACGACTTCACTATCATTTAGGGAGTCTCTAATAACCCTTGTATATAAGAAGGGTAAAGATCCATCACTGTGCAGTAGCTACCACCCAGTAAGCTTAATGAACTTGGACAATAAGATTCTAGCTAAAGTACTTGCTAATCGGTTAGGTAAGGTGCTACCAAAAATTATACATCCAGATCGAACAGGATTTATGAAAAATAAATATTCTTCAGATAATACAAGAAAGCTGTTTAATTTGATTTATCACGCTAAACTCAGTAAATCAACATCACCTATATGCACACTGGATGCTGAGAAGGCCTTTGACAGAGTGGAATGGAAGTACTTATTTAATGTGCTAAAATTGTTTGGTTAAGGTCTATATTTTATTAAATGGGTTGGAATCTTATACCGCAGTCCACAGGCATCTATTGTGACTAACAGCTGTATATCCAAAACTTTTTGTTTATATAGAGGCACCAAACAATGATGTCCTCTTTCACCTTTACTATTTAATTTAGCACTTGAACCTTTAACCTGCAAAATAAGAGCATCAGTCCAGATAAAAGGTATAGATGTTCATAAAAATGTTTATAAGCAGTAGATGTCATTGAATGTTTTGGTAAGATGACAGATTATAAGATCAACTGGAGCAAAACAAAACTTATGTATCTTAATTCATTATCATTGCATCATACGATTACTCACCCAGTACGAGTTACAACAGAGATAGCGTATCTGGGGCTGTGTAAATAAAGTAATAAAGTCCAGCGTGAAAGCTTCCCGAGATGTTAATTTAAGAGACTTGTTAAATAAAATAAATGGGGACATACTCAGATGGAGATGTTTACCAATTTCCATGTGGGGTAGAATTAATATAGTCAAGATGTCAATACTACCTAAAGTAAATTAACAAGTAATAGATTTATTCCATGCTGAAAAGAGAAGAAAGAAAACACGAAAGAAAACATTTTGGCCATGGAGCCTTCTTCAGGTGTGAGACGGAATGCTGGTTTAGTAGGAGAGGGGGACAAGTGACCCAGGGAGGAAGACAGCTTGACTATATTAAGATGGTATTGTCAGCACATACTGTAAAGTCATTCTGGACCTCCACAGTGGGGAAAGCTCTCAGGCACCTAAATATCTAAATTCCACTTACTCCCATTACATGTATCCTTGGTGATTTATCAAAGGTTAAAGTAGCAATTCAATATAAAAATACTTTTTTGACTCTCTGTATTATTGCTAAAAAATAATATTGCGAAAATGGGTGGACAGAACAGGACCATCGTACAAAGAATGGATTAAAGAGGCTATATCACAAGGTAAATTTGAAAAGATTTCATATAATTTACAGAGGAAAGTTAATGAGTATAGGAATGTTTGGGGCCCATTAGAGACATACTTGAATCGCACCGGATGTTAAGAATATCAATAGGAAGTTTTTTTTGTAATTGTAATTGTAATGGAATTTTGTTTGTTATTGTCTTATAAGAACACAAATGAGAGTGAAAAATAAAAAGTAAAGAATAAAGAAGTCCTCCGAAGTTGGGGGTGAAAGTGAGTTAAAAAAAAGGTTTTCATGTGTTAAAGTGATTACTTCTTGGTTTGAGAACAATTAAGAGAGAAGACTGAGTACTCTCCCAGAGAAAACTGAAAGAAACCCGATTTATACCACTCAAATTCATTTCAAGGAGAGGGTAAAAATGAGTCTCTGTGGTAAATAAAGATTAACTGTAAATGGAATGGTCTTCTATTTCCAATAGGACAGAGCCAAAAGGAGTTTTAGATCACATATTTGTGTGTTGAATATTGTGATTTTACTGCTTCATTTCAATTGCCGAGGTTGGGCGGAGGTTTCTTTAGCAGAGAAAACTAGAAAAAGACCTTAGTCACAACGACAACAGTAATGGTAGCAGGTGGTTGAAGGGCAGAAGGCACCTCTTGTTCACAGAAAAATGTCCCATAGCAATAGATGCTTAAAGTAGGAGGCGACAATACTGATATTCCATTTTAATAGTGTGGTAAAAGGCTAATTATATAACAAGTTACCCAGGCACATTATTGAAGCCAAAACCCAGGTTTATTTCAAGACATGACATGGACCAAATAGCTACTAGCAATCAAGCAATCTAGATATAATAATAATATATATTAATAATATATAATATTCTAATAATGATAATAATAATAATAATAATAATAATAATAATAATAATAATAATAATTCCTTACACTTATATAACGCTTTTTTGGTCACACCCCTCAAAGCACTTTACAGGTAATGGGGACTCCCCTCCACCACCACCAATGGGTAGAATGGCCTCTATTGTAACATTTTTTTAGTAGTTTCCCAGAATATACCTGCTGCTCTTTGGTCTTCTCTGGCCTCCTTGAACTCCCTCTGCTGCTGCAGTGACCACTCTCTCAACTGCTCCTGCTGGCTGCGGCGCCTCTCCTTCTGGGTCAGGTCCTCTCCCAGCAGCCCCTGCAGCCTCTGGCCCGAGCCATCTCCTGCAGCTTCCTTCTTCAGCTGCTCGGGGTCATTCAGATCGAACTCCCGCCTGTCCTCCGGCTTCTGATAGCTGTGCCGGAACTCATCAGTGGCCCTGCACAGCTTTCTCACATCCGTTTTCTGCCTTTGCTCCAGCAAACAGGCCACCTTGTCAGCGCAGATGAGGTCTTCGGCTTAAGGAATAAACATAAAGGCATTAATAACTCCGAGTGTAGGTTCACCCATTTTTTCTTTTCAAGATATCTGCTTTTACAAATGTAAGATCCCTGCATGCTGGAGCATTGAAGATCTGTATACTAAGATCTTGCATACTGTATGTTAGAACCCACAATGAAAACCACACACAGTTCTACTGAATCAAATCATGATTTCTTTATTGCACTAAAGAAAGGAGGACAGGCAAATTTAACAGGTTATAACCTCGTCCCTAACTCGCTTTTTCAAACAGAACAACAGGCTTTTGTTGTTGAAGATGAGCAAAATCTAATACATTTTTATGATTGGTCAGTAACAGTTTGTTGCCTTATAAGATGTAAACATGGTCAGAGAGTCAGGCAGTTAGCTCAGGTCAGTCGTGGCAATAAACCAAGACCCCTCTTTCCTTCTAAACCTGAGTGTAGGATACATGAATTACAGTGCATCTGCATTTAAGAGACCTTGGCTGGCCTGAAATGTGCCAAACAATCCAACAATTCTTAAACACTTCATTGTAAACTCCTAACAAGGCATGGGATCCTTCACATAAAAATAAAAAAATAACATTACAGACTTCTTACTTCCTCTTTTTATAAATTCCTTTTTTTTTGCACATTTCTGCACTCTTGTTCTCTTAGTTTATCACTTTTTCGAATGCAGGGTGTTACGCCACGCCCCCGGAGGATTCGTCATTCCACCTCGCATTCCCGCACGGTTCCCAATTAGCCCATTTACCCCAACCAATTTAATGCTGCTTCATACTCTCCCCTGTGCTCAGTAGTCAGGTTTTTCCTGGCTAGAGCTACTTCAATTCTCCCAATTAATTACTTCTTGGTTTTTGGCTTCCTGACCCCGGTTAGTCTACGTCTCTTGGTTTTGTTTTGCTACTTTGAGTATTGTTCTGGCTTCGACTCTCGGCTTCCTCGCGGCTTACAGCTCCGCTTCTGATTTTTTACTTTTGCACCGGCTTGTTTACCTTCTGCTTTCGGACCTCAGACTGTTAAATCAACTACGCCTCTGGAGTTCGTCCTGGTTTTTCTGCATAGGGTCCTCATTAATATTCCCTAACACAGGGCTGTGGGGGAGCAGAAGCCACACCTGAAAAGCAACAGGCTACACCCAGGACCGGACTCCAGTCCATTGCAGGGCACATAATGACACACACAAGCACGCACTCACACCAGGGCCATTTTCCCCAGCAGCCAATCAACCTACCAATATGTCCAGAGCAAAAGCTCATGAGTACATGGGGAGAACATACAAACTCCACACAGACAGCAGCACCCCAAGAATTGAACAGAGGGCCCAGTTCTGTGAGGAAGCAACGCTAACCACTGCGCCACCACACCAGCTGCAGACTTAATATTTTTACATTGTCATGTCAGAAACCTGTACTCACCGTAGGCCTTCAGTATCCTAGCTTCTTTGTCTTCTTTTATGTTCTTTTCCTTCACTTGGAAATCTAATGCTTCTTTATCCACCTAGATATTTCAAAATGAAGGAACTGAGAAAAGGCATTGCACAGGCAGACTGGCACTAAATTGTGTTAAGTATTAAAGAAAATATCAGTTATTCTACGTTGAATAAAGTAGAATGATCTGATTTTATCGAAATGCTCTCCACCAATATAAGACGATCCAGATGGATTGTTGTGCTAGTCCAAGGTCATTTCTGCAATATGAAACATTTCTGATAAATGTCTAGATACTATTATCATAATTCATTTAAAATGTGGTACGATGTGCCACGCCTACCGCGTTTTAACGCGGCGTACTCCATGCATTTTGAATTGCTGGATCTGTAGGTAGATTTGATCAGATTAGTATGCAAAGCCATTTACCAAAGAGGGTGTGAGAACAGTGATAAACCAGTATACTTCAGATCTTTTTTTATTGAACCAGGGAAAATCTGATCATGTTTCTCTATAACAATAATTAAAAAAATATATATATTTTTTGTACAGTAGCACCTTTGAAAGTAAAATCTCAAGTAGAAACAGTAGGTGTAGAAACAGTAGGACCACAGGTTACAAAGTAAAAACATATAAGAAAGACAAGCGGTTAGAAGTGCCATTGAAATGAGCAGATGAAGCAGATACAGACATGTTCCTGAGGAGAGTTAATGTATCATTATACTGTATAATACGTTGTCAATGCACAATACGGTGAACAATTAGAAAATAAAAAATCGTGATAATAACACGATACAAATCTCGTTTATTAGATAACGATATTCAAGTATAAAACATTAAATAAGTAGATTTCCGTTGTTGCAACACTAATGATACAGCACTGAAAACAAGTGTGAAAATAACTATAAAGTTACACCTTTTGTGGGTAGAAGCGGTTGATGTTGGGAATCGCTGGGTTATGTACAGTATATGTAATTTAAAAATACAGATGTAAATTTGTTCATACATATTCAAGCTTAAGAAGGAAACAGAAAAAACATTTATAAGAAATCAAACTCAATCTAATCGTTACATTATTTTGTGTGCTGAATAATTTTTGATCTACAGGATATCAATCATTCACGTATTGCGAAAATAAACTGTTAAAAATTCAAGACATCTAGTATAGAACATATAGAGCCCCTTACTCCAATCGTTCTGACTTTAGCGTTGAAAATCCTCTCTTGCCGCTGAACATCTGCGTTTCGTCTCCTCTCGAGGTGAGCGGCTTGAGTACGATCCGCTGGCAGCTCCAGTTTGTACATCTCAGTTTCTATTAATTTTTTGCACTTCTGCTTACTGCATGAAGTTCGCACAGAATCTGTGTGTGTGTGTGTTGGTCTCCGTGTACTCTCCCGCGACTACTGTACACAGGCTGGTTGCTAGGAAACGAGCCTCGAGTTTCAGCGTGGGTGGTGAGCTCCCCCTGGTGTTTACTGTATTTTGTCATCCTTGTACGGGTTAATAACCAGAATACTGCAGCATAGTTTTAAGATGAGTGGACAATATACAGTATATTTGAGTTATAAAATAAACATTTCCAAATGTCGTATGATAAGACTTTACAAATAAAATAGAGCACATGTAAGTTTTCAGCTTTTAACAAATGCGTAATTATAAACAATTTCATAGTTATGCAGCCATGGTAGAAGCCCTGTGCAATAATAATTAAATCACGACAGCTAAAGCACTCCAAGCCTGTACTGTCTTCCCTATCACCTTTGATATAAGTAGTAGAAAACTACTAAAGTTGACTCCAGAAGAGGAGAGGGAAGACATTGTGTCCTTTTTTTAAACCGTGGTGAGTGACCCGCCAACCAAATAAGTTTTATTTCTGAGAGACAAGATCAAAGTTATTGTACTATAACTTAAGGAGTACTGTAAACTATCTAGAGTGCTATAAAGCAAAGCATACTGTATGTTTGTTTAGAAATGTGGAAAACAATAACTGTTTTTCAAAACATCTCGACATTTCCAAATAGTGGAACAAGTAATAGGTTTATTCCATGCTGAAAAAAAGAAGAAAGAGAACACAACGTTTCGGCCGTGGAGCCTTTTTCAGGTGTGAGAGAGACAGAACAGTAGGCAAAGGTAAAGTAGCGGGAGAACAAAGGTTGGGAGGGAGGAGGAGTGAGAGGCGGGAGCAGGGAACAGAAAGAGAGGCCAATCAAGAGGTGTGAAGTGAGAATGGGTGCAGAGAGGTGTGAAATGAAACTTCCAATGAATGGAGAACATTTAAAAGAACAGTAGTCTGTTGTTAAGAGAAGGGAGAATGTATGATCCTAGCTGCAGAATAATTTTAGTTTCGGTGGTCTTTCTGATGTATGAGTTCGGAAAACTGTATTTGAGAACACAGACGGAGAGATTAGAGTGGTCGTAACCTTTGCCTACTGCCCTGTCTCTCTCACACCTGAAGAAGGCTCCACGGCCGAAATGTTGTGCTCTCTTTCTTCTTTTTTTCAGCATGGAATAAACCTATTACTTGTTCCTTTGCAGCCTACGCATGCTGACGCAGCTACCCACCTGAACTATTTCCAAATAGTGCTTACAATGTCCTCTGGACAGACAATAAACAAAGGACCATATGGGGAAGATGTGGTGAACAATGGGTCAAATACAATGCCTGAAGACGATAATTTCATTATTAGGATTTTTAAAGCTGGGGCTTCATGCTGGCACAGTGCTTAAGCATTGCTGTCTCACAGCTCTAGGGACCTGAGTTCCATTCCTGGGATGCCGTAGGTGTAGAGTTTGTATGTTCTCTCCATGTTTCCGTAGCTTTCTTCCAGCTCTAGTTCCCTCTCACAGCCTAAAGACATACTGATGGCTTCTGGGAAAATTGGCCCTGGTGTGAGTGTGTGAGTCTCTGTATCTGTATGTGCCCTGTGATGGACTGGGGCCCCATCCAGGTTGTATCAATCCTTCTGCCTGTTGCTTGAGTTAGGCACCCCCCAAAACCCCACAACTCTGTATTAGATAAAATAGTTAGAAAATGGATGGATGAATGTTGAAAGCTATATTTATAATGTCCCAATTAATTTCCTGATCTAAAGAATTAAAGTTCTTGTTCCATATTAGTAAGAGTTGGAATGAAAAATCTACAGAAAAAGCAGAGTAAACCAATTCCTTTCTTTTGTACCAGTAGATTATAGGTTAGGTGTGTAGACAGCTTCACTGTGCAGGGGGTACTAGAGCCATGCATAGCAGAATGAAGATGCAAGAAAAAAGAAAGAGTAAGCGTGTAGCTTTTATTGAGATTGCAGGATCTGGAAGGAATTCTCATTAAAAATGTCTGCTAGAATAATAAACATCTTTTCACCCCAGAGTGAAAAAGAGAAAGAAAAGTTTGTGGTTATAGAAAATAGTAGGAATCCTGTGTTTTCTGGAATTTTGCGACCACATTTTTGAGCAAATACCAATCATATTTAGTTGTGTAAGACTGGGGCCAATTTTAGTCTATAATATATAAGTTGAATGCTAGAATAAACATTTAAGTTTAAGTGGGATGACAACATTATCTGCAAGGGGACAACTAGATACTGTATATCTTGTCTTGTCTTGTCTAGTGACAAGACTGCACCCGTGTTTGTAAATCAAAGGTGTTAAAAAACAGAATGTTTGGCAGAGCTTAGCCCTCTGCCTACCCAGCTCTACCATGTTGAGACATTTCTCAATGCACTGAAGGGTGTGAGAGAGGAATCATAGAACTAAAAAAGAAATAAAAGCACCTATTAATTTTAGACCTTGATAGAGCACCAAAAATAATGTAAAATTGTAACTGAGGCCGAGACTGGGAGTTGTTATCTTCATACTGTGTATAATTATTTATCACATAGCTATATCAAATTTTAACAAAAGAACTGTCAGACTAGATTTAATAGTGATGGACAGTCTGAGTTACTTGTTCCAAAAAGTAGAAAAACAACAAACTGCGCACCCCTGATGTTGTATTAATTTGGCCATATGCTCTCCAGCACAATATCACTTTAATATATACTGTAGCTTGGCATCACATAACCCACACAAACTGTGGCTGATTTTTCATAAATATGGAAAAAATAGCCATATTAATATGCTTCTGAAATTAACTGTTCTCAAAGTTAGTATACCTTTGCTGTATCATTTCAAGCTGTACTGTATAATTTCAAGCTGAAGAAGGCCAGAATCAGGGTAAAAATTAAATAACTTTACAGAGGAAGGCTAACAAACCCAGGAAACTTTCTCATGTCTCCTATTTCTCATGTCTCCCAGGAAGATACAGGGATATAGATATTCCCAATACAGCCAATGTTTCAGAAGAAGTCAGTTTCCCAAACCTCATACACTTGAAAATGTCAACCTGTATAATTTAGAATATAAAGGGTGAACTATGGAGTTTATCTGTATGGGATCTGACAATAACACCCTGTGTGATGATCTAAAGACAGGAATATGTGAAAAGTGTTCATTGCTGTGATGATAGATGAGAGATGAGAGATGCTGAGAGATGATAAGATACAACCTTGAGGAACTCCTGTGCTCCGGTTGATTTGCTGAGAGATAGTATCCTTCAGCTTCACCAACAGCTTCCTACTCCAGTAGTCAATAACTCAGAGTCTGGTTAATACCTACAGTATCTCTTCTAGCTTATCAAAAAGCTTAAGAAGGGTGATTGTGTTAAAAGCAGAACTATAATCAATAAATAGGATCCAGGTATACAGTGCCTTGCGAAAGTATTCGGCCCCCTTGAACTTTTCAACCTTTTGCCACATTTCAGGCTTCAAACATAAAGATATAAATTTTTTATTTTATGTGAAGAATCACCAACAAGTGGGACACAATTGTGAAGTGGAACGAAATCTATTGGATTTTTGAAACTTTTTTAACTAATAAAAAAATGAAAAGTGGGGCGTGCAAAATTATTCGGCCCCTTTACTTTCAGTGCAGCAAACTCACTCCAGAAGTTCAGCGAGGATCTCTGAATGATCCAATGTTGTCCTAAATGACTGATGGTGATAAATAGAATCCACCTGTGTGTAATCAAGTCTCTGTATAAATGCACCTGCTCTGTGATAGTCTCAAGGTTCTGTTGAAAGCACAGAGAGCATCATGAAGACCAAGGAACACACCAGGCAGGTCCGTAATACTGTTGTGGAGAAGTTTAAAGCCGGATTTGGATACAAAAAGATTTCCCAAGCTTCAAACATCCCAAGGAGCACTGTGCAAGCGATCATCTTGAAATGGAAGGAGTATCAGACCACTGCAAATCTACCAAGACCTGGCCGTCCCTCTAAACTTTCAGCTCAGACAAGGAGAAGACTGATCAGAGATGCAGCCAAGAGGCCCATGATCACTCTGGATGAACTGCAGAGAACTACAGCTGAGGTGGGAGAGTCTGTCCATAGGACAACAATCAGTCTTACACTGCACAAATCTGGCCTTTATGGAAGAGTGGCAAGAAGAAAGCCATTTCTCAAAGATATCCATAAAAAGTCTCGTCTAAAGTTTGCCACAAGCCACCTGGGAGACACCCCAAACATGTGGAAGAAGGTGCTCTGGTCAGATGAAACCAAAATCGAACTTTTTGGCCACAATGCAAAACGATATGTTTGGCGTAAAAACAACACAGCTCAACACACCATCCCCACTGTCAAACATGGTGGTGGCAGCATCATGGTTTGGGCCTGCTTTTCTTCAGCAGGGACAGGGAAGATGGTTAAAATTGAGGGGAAGATGGATGCAGCCAAATACAGGACCATTCTGGATGAAAACCTGTTGGAGTCTGCAAAAGACCTGAAACTGGGACGGAGATTTATCTTCCAACAAGACAATGATCCCAAACATACAGCAAAATCTACAAAGGAATGGTTCACAAATAAACGTATCCAGGTGTTTGAATGGCCAAGTCAAAGTCCAGACCTGAATCCAATCGAGAATCTGTGGAAAGAGCTGAAAACTGCTGTTCACAAACGCTCTCCATCCAACCTCACTGAGCTCGAGCTGTTTTGCAAGGAAGAATGGGCAAGAATTTCAGTCTCTCGATGTGCAAAACTGATAGAGACATACCCCAAGCGACTTGCAGCTGTAATCGCAGCAAAAGGTGGCTCTACAAAGTATTAACGCAAGGGGGCCGAATAATTTTGCACGCCCCACTTTTCATTTTTTTATTAGTTAAAAAAGTTTCAAAAATCCAATAGATTTCGTTCCACTTCACAATTGTGTCCCACTTGTTGGTGATTCTTCACATAAAATAAAAAATTTATATCTTTATGTTTGAAGCCTGAAATGTGGCAAAAGGTTGAAAAGTTCAAGGGGGCCGAATACTTTCGCAAGGCACTGTATGTGCTGGGTGCTGCTAGGTGTTGAAATACATCATGGAGCCCCGAGAGACTGCACAATCCACTGACTTGTTTGCTGTTTAGGCAAACTGACATGGGTCCAAGTGTGCACTGGACAGGAAACTATGAGCTGCTCAAACACCTTCATAATGACAGATGTCAAGACTACTGGTCTGCAGTCATTGATGGAGTTCACAATGGATTTCTTAAGTACCGGTAATATACTAGTCATCTTAAAACTGTGCGGTACCTTTGCCTGCTTACGAGAGAGATTGTAAGGTAGATCTGTAAAAACAGGAAAAAGTTGACTGGCACAAGATTTCAGTGTAGCTGTTGGAATAAAGTCGGGCCCAAGTGCTTTTCTTGTTTTGTGTGTTGAACCTACATTAGAATTGATTCAGCTCATTGCCACCATCTCAGTTTTTACAAGCTGTAAGTACTGTTCTGTTGACTGCTCCAGCAGTGTGGCTACCACTTGTCTCCTTTTCCAGGAGAATCACAGTCTTTTTTCTCAGCTGGGGAAACAACAGTCAAATAATCATTTTTGTTGATGTGTTCTAATGGAAAAACAGCACAAGGATGACAAAAACAAAGGAAAAGCACTTAGCAGAAGCTCTAGTTCTGGGCTGCTATCCCAGCACACTGGTCACCTGATTTCCCCACAATTAGTTTATTACAGGATTTGACAAATAAATTGAGTCTCCCTCTCAAGTCAAATGGCCAATGTCACTTGGTGACCACATTGGTATGCACATCTCACTCTCAGCCAAGACTTAATCTCCATTCAGTTTTGGACATACTCCAATCCCTGAGCACCTTCCAACAATAGTAAATTCCACTTTACCAAAGGAGAATTCAATGCTTTTGGGAGCCCTGGATGTTTCTACACCATTAATAATAATAATAGCTTACACTTTTATAGTGCTTTTCTAGACACTCCACTCAAAGCGCTTTACAGGTAATGGGGACTCCCCTCCACCACCACCACTGTGCAGCATCCACATGGTTTTGCCAACAAATTATGTTGTTTTACTGCTCAATCAGCATGCATTTACCAAGTCATGAAGCCACAGTGTTTTTTTTTTTTCACAACAGGCTATGGTTCTGATGGCTTCAAAGCAAGTTGAAAGCATTGCAAACAACACTTACCCTGTTCAATCAAAAGATCGTCCTTCAAACCCATTTGCCTATCGCAGGATAAGTATTGGTGAGGTCATATTTGTGTTCATACTGGTAAATGGATGCTTTAACCCAACAGGAAACTTTAATGTTTTAAATAAAACTTTAATATTGATGTCAAAATGATTATTGTTAGGATTCTGAGACTTGTTATTCAAACTGTTAGGAATAGCTTTAATGTATTAAAAGAGACAGCAAAGTATTTAAAGAAAAGAATTAATTCAACAACTGATAGCCCTTCATTGCTTATGGTGGGGGGGGGGACATCAAACCATTTAAACAATGTGAAAGGTATTGATTCTGGGCAAGGTTTGTGCCTCATATACACAGGGCAGAAGATGTGACAGCACTCTGGATGGGAGATCACTTCATCTCACACACAGCCACAAGCACAAGCGCACTGGGGCAATTTAGAGAGATTAATGATGCTACCCATCATGTGTCTGGAAGGCAGGAGGAAGCTGGAGCAGGAAACAATCATCTATATTTTAAGAACAGAATAATCATCTATAACAAACACAAATGATCAGAATTCAGAAATGATTTGTCACTCAAAGCATTAAATTATTAAATAACTGACTCTGGCTTCCTCCCACAGTCCTAAAACATGCTGGTAGGTTAATTGTCTTCTGGAAAATTGTGTGTGCTGTGTATCTGTCTTTGTATTTTGGAGTATATTATTTTATTTGCCAGGATAGGCTCTGACTCCCCAACTACCCTGAATTGGAAGAAGCTGCTAGAAAATGGATGGATTTAATTAATGTGACTATCTACAGTACGTCAGAGAAAACATGATGTAAGGGGACACCCAAACTTCCCAGCCTGCTCCAGGTTTTCTGGAGGATTTTTGTCCTCTTTGTACTCTGGAAGAGCCACCAATCCCAGAACCCCGTGCTGCCGGTGTTAGCTGTCATGATCTTCCGAATGTCAGCACTCTCAGCCCTAGTGGTACATGTGCTCTGCATTGCTGGAGGGACTCTTTAGGCTTAGAAAGGCAATTCAACTGTGACTCTAAGGTAAGAAAATAATCAAGTGCAAGTATAATAAAATCAAAGAAGGATATAATTTGTTGTTAGAAATTAAATTCATGTTCAGTTGACTTACCTGGGAAAATAAAAGAATAAATCATCAAATGTAGTCTAACAATGCAGATGCTGGTGCTACAAAGATGGCTGAACAGGCATTCTTTTTAACATAGGTTAACTCTTTCTGGGAAAACTGGGCACAGAAAGTTTCTTCCAATGAAGGGACAGAAAATCAAGTTGAAATCAAGTCCAGATCCATAAGAGCATAAACAACGATTCAAATGAGAGGAGACCATTTCCTCCATATACAATATTTCAGTGAAAGACAAATTAGCATAGTATCACGAAGTGTCTTTCAGGCAGACAGCACAATCCAGAAGGGAGTGAGAAAACATGGGGAAAAAAGACCAGGATAGGGGCTGGAAGAATAACAGGGGGCATGTCCAAGGTGCACTGGTGCTCGGGGGGGGGTGTCCATGGTGAACAAGTCCAAGGGAGTCCGTTAGAGTATCCTGGGAAAGCCAACGTCCAAAGCCGGGTGATCCATCCTGACACAGACAAATGAAGTTAAAAGCCAGAGTGGGATCCGGCGAGGGGTTGGGGGAAAGAAAATGGGGTTACGGGGCCAGGTGCTACCAGTCCCGGACCCAGATGGTCAGGATGCCATTGTGAAGCCTATGCCATCGAGTCGCTCCTGGACTCGCGGGTAGGCTTGCTTCCAGACATCCATCTTCCAAAGCTGAGCCTAGATTGGTAGGAACGTCTGGCTTTTATAGGACGGGGGCAGGAACCGGAGTCAGGTGCAGGAGATAAAGAATTAACAAGGAAGGGCTGGAGCATCCTTAAGAGGAGGGGTTTACGATCATGACACAGAGTCTAAGGTTAGAAAAAACACCCAGTTAGGGATTTGAAAATCCATAAAATTTGGACTTCAGTCATGTTAATGGTTGAATTCCTAATGGATAAACTAAGTGTGATACAAGAGTAATATTTTCAGAGTTTTATGGTTGTGGAATTTGCAATATTGCTTATGGAAAATCATTATACAATCTTTTTCTTAAATGGTGCCAGACCAAATCTCAAAAACACAACTTATCCTATATTTATATTCCCATTCATGATGAAATTTTTACATTATTAGTTCACAGGTTTAGGGAGAATTTCTATAAATTTTGCTTATATCTTAGTATTTCAACCAGTGACATTTGAGCATAGAATGTCACAAAATGCATGTGTTTTGAAGTATTTATGTTTTATTTAATGAGCTCATGAAGCATTTCTGTGGCTATCACTGAAATTTTGGATTAGTATTTCGTTGTGGGTTGTGGAATTTTGGATATTGCCTATGGAAAACCTTATACAAGCTATTTCCTCAGTAATTCTTGACTTAAAATTTGAGGCAAAAATAACAGTGGGTTCATGAACTCAAGATGTCTTCTTTTCAGAGAAAGTGTCTTGGACAGAATTCTGTACTGTTCTGTCACCCTCATGGCCTGGTGTTTTGGAGATAAGTTTAGGTCTAACTCAGACCGGTAAAATTAGATTTCTTGCATAAATGGAGAGAGATGAGAAGCTAGTAGTCAACCAGTGAAAAATGAGTTGGGTTACAGTTTTACAGTATGACATCACACTTTGGGGATCAGGTTTCTTCTGGTACCCACTGTAAAGATCCCCAGTTGGTGGATTTTTCTTTGGGTGATGGATAGTGACCTTTGACCTGTGGTCTTGGGAAGAAACCACCTATAGATTGGCTGTAGCCTATCTGCACTATATACCATTACACTGATCAGTTTTCTTACAGCTTTATGATGTCTCTTACCAGTGTGGCCTCTTTAGCTACATTCTTGAGCCATGACACAGACAGGCACCAGGCTGCCTGGCCAAAGCACACAAAGATTATTAAAAAATCTTTAGTAGCACTTAATTGTAAGTTAAATAATGGTCCATAACGCTTGACTTGAAGCCAAGTACTAATCATCACACATCTTATATTGATGTTCCCTTTTATAATGAAATTTTATCATTAAGGGGATTTTTTACCCTAATTCTAGATTCAATTTTCAAATTAAATTATGCTGAACTGAACAAAATAATAAAATCCTTTTCCAGCAAAATGTTTTTGATTTGGTTGAAAAACCCTTTCGCTGCATGTGTTTGGAAGAAATCATGTTTTGTTTATAAGCATTTTTTTTACTTTCTCTGATGTCATGGATGAGTATTAATAATGCTAGCAGCCATTAACCTTCACCTGGCAACCCACTGAAGCAAAACAGGTGTGAGTCTGGATGGGAGACCTCCTGGCAAAAAGGTTGCTGCTGGAAGAGGTGTTAGTGGGGCCTGTAGGGAGTATATGTCCTAATATCTAGTATAAGGAACACTATGTTGTTAAAAGGCACCATCCTTTGGGTTGAGATGTAAAACTGAGGTCCTGACTCTCTGTGGTCATTAAAAATCAGGGTATTTCTCAAAAAGAGTAAGGGGTGTTACCCTGGCTTCCTGTCCAATGTTTCAATCATGGCCTCCTAATAATCCCATCTCTATGGCTTCATACTCTGTTCTCCTCCTCACTGATAGCTGATGTGTGGTGAGCGTACTGGCTCACTATGGCTGGCATCACATCAACCAGGTGGTGCTACACACTGTTGGTGGAAGGGAGTCCCCTTTACCCGTAAAGCGCTTTGAGTGGAGTGTCCAGAAAAGAGCCATATAAGTGTAAGGAGTTATTATTATTATTTGAAGTAGTAATAGTAGTAATACTCTTTATTTGAACATACAGCAAGCTTAACAAAAGTAATACATTATTAATACATTAAAACTGAGAATATTTACAGTTAGCCAATTTCACTTATCCCCAACTTAGTAGTTTTGACACTTGCACTTTAAGTATCCAATAAGCTTCTCAATGTAATTGGAAAATTTACTATATTTTCACTATAATTAGATAATTTAATCTTGTGAAGAAGATTCATGTCCTGCTTTCCTACAGTCTTTTACAATGAAGTAGGAGTGGGTGTTTCTTAACATTTCTGCTTTTATGTTCAGCAAGGTACAGTTTTAAAGGTACTTTTTGTTTAACATAAGTCAGCTACTGTACCTACAAAGACATGTCAATATATACAGTATATTACATCTGTAGTGTTACAAATAAAACCTACAAATTAAATTAATTCTATTCAATATGTATCAGAAAAATATTCAGTATTGTGTTAGGACCATACAGTACATACAATATTTCTGTTGGAGGGGTGTGGCAACCATGAATGAACTTGGAAATTGTCACGTCCCGCAATTGCCCTCACAAACGCCATTATATTCCAAAACCCACTGTTTCACAATCTCTTTCTTAACAAAACCCATCACATTCTCACAAGCACCAGATTCCACAGATTCTCACTCCTGAACCAATTATCCAACCACATCCCTCTCCCTCCCCTATTTAAAATTCCCTCACGCACCAAACCCTGTTCACTATTGAAAAGCCTTCTTTAGTGTTTTCTAGTGTGCATTATTTTCTTGTTAGATCTCTTGGTTTTTGGACTTAACTTTTCCCTTTTGATCTCGTCTCTTGGACTTTGCCTTTTGGATTGTCTTCTCGGTTTGTCTTGGCTCTTTCTGGTTAACTGATCTCTAGCTTCGCCTACCGACCTTGCCTCTGGATTGCGATTTTGGATTGTTTGCCTCTGCATCCCGCATAGCTTACAGCTACGCAAAGGATCCCCAGAGAACTACCTGCCAGATCCCTGACAAAATATTATGGGATTAAATCTTAAAATGCTTTTCACTAGGTATTTGTTTTTCATTTCCCTGACACCAGTGGACCCATTTTTTCCCGTTTTTGACATTTTGTATGCAACTCTTTGTTACTTGGATCCCTAATACTAGGGAGAAGTAGGTGGAAGTATGGAGAGCCGCTGTTGATGTGTTAAGGTCATTGTTGCACTGGCTGATTGTCTGACTTAATTTTATGGCCCCTTTGGCTAGAAACACAAAGAGGGGGCAGAGAACGAGGGTTTTCTGTGGTATTTGTACCATTTTATTTTGTATTCATCTGAGTTGGACAACTTGATGGTACTGTAATACAATTGTTCTCAAAAACTGTATGTCATATGCTACATAAGTGATGTTAAGCACTGGCAGCACAGAAGTTGCCTTGCATGGTGTTTGACATAGCCTGAGCTTCCAATGAGCATCAGAGTATGGTTGCACTGAACGTAGCCCATTCTTTGTTAATTCTGTGTCCAAACTACTGATAATGAATAAAAATGTTAATTTGTTTGAGTTTGGCTTTATGACCGCACAGGATAGTTAGACACTAGTTTTGTTTAAAAGACATTCAATTACCTTACTACCAGCTGAGATATTAAAAAAAAAAAATATTATTAAGTAATTTGCTTTTAGCAGTCAGGATATCGAAGAGGCCAATATATGAATGATATATAGATGATAATAATAATATACTGCAATAGTGTTTGATATTAATCATTATTTAAACATATAATTAACATTAGTGTTAAAGATTTACACAAAACTGCTGATTGTTGTTTAACAGAAATATGCTTTTTAATGTTACTATTTCTTTAAATTTCAATTTGTTATATTTTACAAAAAATATTTAAAAAGTCCCCAGAGCTGAAGACAATTTTGGCTCTTTCACAAAAGCCATTTGCTCACAGTGTGATTAATTTTTCCTTATGTTTTTTCTGTATTAATGCACGTAACAAGATGTTTAGTAAAAGTGATTCCTGGAGACTAGGAACAGAACCAGGAAAGTTTAGGAAGGAGCTCCATTGCTTCAAAATGTCTGCACTTCCTGTTGGGCCACTTCCATTAATATCTGCATTTTGATGGTGATATAGTCTGAAAGAAAAGACAGCACCTGTTAAGGTAAATGACACTATTTCCATGTACAAGTGAAATTTCATATATGAACCAATTCCAATGTCCAAACCCTCTGAAGCTTGAAAGAACTCACCTGCAAGTTTTAAGATAAGATAAGATCACTTTATTAGCCATATACAATCTCTTGTATTAGGAATTTGTCTTTTCACATATCCCACCTTGCTCTCCATGAGTCACACAGACAGGGAGAGAAACTTGGGGTCATAGCACAGGGTCAGCCATTTATACAGCACCCCTGGAGTTAAGGACTTTGCTCAGGGACCTAATGGAGTAGGATTCCTCTGCCCACCACAGGATATGAACTGGCAACAGGCACAGATCCTTAGCCACAGAGCTACCCCGGACTCAGCTATTTATTAAAAATACCTGAATACAAAATAGTAGCTGTATTGCTGCCCATGTTGTCTTGTGCTGCACATCAAGATTCCAGAATATCAGATTTTTACCCCCAAACTTTTTAATGTCTCAGCCATCCTGGTGCCAGTTCCTTGGATACTTCATATAGAGCAAAGGGATTCATGTTACCATGCCAGATTTCACACAGAATTAAAAAAAAAACATAACAACAAAAACAAGGAACATACAGTATGGAAAGCTTTAAAATCTCTAGGTAATAACATCTTCAGAGTAACGAAGTCTTTAATTACTTCACTCTTCAATAATCATTCATCATCAAAACCTCAAGGAATCGTTTTCTGGCACTGAACATTCAGCTAGTCGTGGCCTATGAGGAGGCTAATATTTCAGTCGGACCTTATATTCATGTAGTTGACTAACATGCATTAGACTAGTTTTACTAGATTAAGTCTATCTCTTTAGAGTTGTCAATACAGTTTTATGTAACCAGCTCCAGGACGTATTTCTGCAGCCATCTACCGTTAGTGCACTGTGGAAGAGACCAGGGGACTGTGATGATCTGTACGTTAAACTTGGAGTTTAAGGGCTGGACCTAAAGCATCCTTCTCAAAAGATAAGTGAGGCTGAGCCTGGATCAGAATTGGGATGGGTTTTGCCTATGGAAATGCTAAGCATTATTTGTAGCAATGAACGATTTTTGTCATTGGTTGTTGCTGTTTTCTTTATATACTGTACATACCGACAGCCTTGCTCCAGCTCTTGGGTAATCTCTGCCGATGAACAGTGAGGTAGTAGACTGGCACTCCAGAGAGGGTGATGGCACAGCTGATGCCAGTGTTCCAGGGGTCTGAATAAAGAGAGAGCCCTACTATGCTGAATGAAACCACTGTGAAGACCACTGCAATGACCAGGGGTACCTATGATGGAACCAGTACAGAGAAACATATCAGTGATTCAGTGATTCATATCAGTGCAATATACAATACAATTTCAAAATGACTTCTCTTTGAGATTTACACTTAACTTTGTAGTCCAGCTTTTTTTTGCCATTGTAATTGAATCATGTGTCAAAGAGAATGATGTGATAATAATACTAATAATAATACAGAGCTTTGAATTGGTTCTGGAAGATGCATTGAGGTTTTATAGGTGACTCCAGAGCCTGTGACTTTTACAGTCTAAGGTTTGAAACTCCTTCATTACAGGCAAGCCCTCTAGTTCAGTTTAACACCTACAGTTTGAAAGAAAATAATATGTTCATCTCAAAACACAAAGCTTTAGATGACTAACTGAAATGTTGAAACTTCTAAGATGCTGTTGCAGAATATATTAGACCAGAGCAAAAGAAAGGAGGAGGAAACATTGAGTACTGGTGTAAATATAATGGGATTATATTTAGGACAAAGAGCTGACATTTTACACTGGCTTCTAGTTAACATTTGGAAGAAAGAATGGCCATTTGATTTACAGTTTAAGATGCAGTTAGCTACTGGACAGAGTTGTCATGATCGTTAACCCCTCCTCTTAAGGACACTCCAGCCCTTCCTTGTTCTGTACTCATTCCCTGCCTCTGGTTCCTGTCCCCCGTCCAATAAAAGCCAGACGCTCACTCTGTTCCGGGCTCTGCATTGGTTCCTGTACCAGGCGAGTCCGGGACCTGGAGCACCTGGTCCCGTCAAGTTTTTAGTTCCTGTTCCTGTTCCTGTTCCTGTGCCAGTTCTGACCTGGTTCCCGTTTTTAATCCCCTTTGACTTTGTCTCGGATGGACCGCCCGGCTTGGATGTTTTCCCCAGCCACACCTCCCCCGAACACCAGCGCACCATGGACACACCCCCTGTTTCCATTCCTGACCCCTGCATGCTTTTTTCCCCGTGTTTTCCTCACTCTACCCTGGATTGTGTCATCTGCATAGGGTCCCGAAAGGACACTTTCGTGACAGTAGTGATATCTCAGTCTCTCAGTTGAGAAGAAAATGTTGCTCTTGCTTTAGCTTTTGTCACCTTAAATGGACGGGGGTGGTCAGGAAACCTGTAGCGATGGACCAGCAATCCGAAGGTGGCCAGAGCTATGAAGAACCAGCGTGAGAAACTGTAGAAGTTGATGAGCTGGAAGAGGTCCCCTCGCAGGAGCGTCAGGACCACCAAGGGATACTTAGAAAGAGCAGAAAATAGGCATTGCTTTACAACACTCGCAGAACCATGACACATTATACTGAATTTATACAGACATGGTGTGGGTTGGATACTCATCCATATTGCTTTTCAACTGACCTTGGCAAGGTGTTGTAGGCCACATTGATATTATAAGCAGGTCAAAGACTGTTAAACACAATAAACCAATATTTTTAATCTGATTTAATAAGACGGGGATCTAGAATGTTTTTTTTTTATTTTGCTTCTGGTATACAAAAGAAATGGCGTTTCCTCCTCAAAAAGAATACATTTTCAAGTTCTACAAAAAGTATTACCTCAGAAAGCCTGTTACTAGTCAGAATTGTAGTTTGGTTTTGATATGGGATTTATTGTGGAATTGAAGATGCCTTTTAAAATAAAAGGATTTAATTGTTTCTTTTATGATATATGTGAATGCATCAAGCTTGAGTATTCTCAGTCTCATCTAAGTCGCTAGCTTCATTTTCTTCTGCTCTCCACATGTCTGTATCAATAATTCCTATTTTAAAATCACATATTTAGTATTTTCCACTGGAACAGGCAACTTTTAACCATGCTCTGCTTTCTGGGCTTTAAGTGAGTGTTACAGAGTATTTGAATTGATTGTTACATTACTCTTGTACATTACTCTTGCACTGAATTGCAGACTGTAGAAGTATCGGCAGCTATGAGATCCTCAGTTGTTAAACAATATTGTATTTGTTATGTATTCAACTGTATGCATCATGTGCATCCCATCAAATATAACACTAACCGGTTTCAATTTAATTTGCTAAATGTCATGGACGGAATATTTCAGCACACATAGGCTCCAGCCTTAAATTTCTTTGCTGGGATTGGTGTGTCTTGACATTTTCCCATCAAATATAACACTAACCGGTTTCAATTTAATTTGCTAAATGTCATGGATGGAATATTTCAGCACACATAGGCTCCAGCCTTAAATTTCTTTGCTGGGATTGGTGTGTCTTGACATTTTCCATACAAAACTGGAAAGAGTGACATCGCTAGGAAAATCTAGACATTGTGTTTATAGTTATAGACAAACAACCTATAGAACAGCTACCTGATCCACCTGGTGTTTGTTAATTTAGCACCAAGTTCTTATTCAACTTCTGCCTCTACAGAATCTTTGTGTAGTATACTTTCTATTCTTATTTCTCTGTCCACCAAATGTAACTTTCCCGGGTGTGAAGAAATTTCTAGGGTAGGCTTAGAATCTCCCTAAAAGCTGCTAGTGAATGATGCATGTCTGGGTGTTAGCAGTGGGATTGGGTGAGGGGGGGGTGACTGTACCAGCAGCAACACCGCTGGCATGGGCGTCTGTCGGCGAATGTGAATCATTGAGAAGAGCAGTGGCCAGTGTCCCTCCCGCGAGCCCACAAACAGCATCCTGGAACGGGAGCAACCACAGAGACAGAGCTGCCACACAGCACACTGATCAGAGGTGCAACCACACTGGGGCGCTGACCCCCAAGACCTGGTTTGAAATAAACTGCACAAAGTGATTCTACTTGAATCCGTCTTTATTCAAACTATACAGTATAGACAGAGTCTAGGTTACTGTGGGTAACTGTTCTGTCTGAAACCCTCTTATTATTTTGTATAACGTTGATATTGAAGTAAAAGTATCAAAATGTATGGTCAATTGTATTGTTAAGCGCCTTGGGGCAACCTTGTTGTGAAAGGCACTATATAAAAATAAATTGAATTAAATTGAAAAGTTTGTAAGAACTTATTATTATTATTATTATTATTATTATTATTATTA